TCTTCCCTCAATCTAGGCCACTCTACATAGCAGTCTTTGGGGGCTGCACTGAGTCTAGGCCTGAAGTAGAGGCCAAGGGCCTTCAGCAGCCACCTGACTAAGCCTGTTCATCAACTGCTACTTAGAATTGCCATTTTTCCAAAGTATGTAAGCCTTGAGGAACAACATGATTGCTCCCACCACCCAGTTCTCCTGAGGGTCTGCCATGTACCTCTTACCTTCAGGCATTTTTTTCCTGTTGTTGAGAGGTTCATATAGCCTAGTGATGGTTAACTATTTTGGCACCGAATGCTGAAACCGGAGCACACTTGTGCGTGTGCGCACTGGAGCACCAGAACTCAGAAGAGCAGCTGGTGACGGCGCATGTGCCCAAAGAGAGGGCTCTGAAGTGCCACCTCTGGCACGAGTGCCATAGGTTTGCCATCACAGATATAGCCTATCCAAACCAGTTCCCCTTCTTGCCAGGACTTTTGTGTGTGTTTGTGTGTGTTTTCAGAAGCCTCTCTTTTGAGCGATCTCATGTCCTCTCCTTCTCTGTAGAGGAATTACGAAAGAGCTGGTTTACTCTCTGGCTCTTCATTCCACCTTGGTCATTGGGTCCACTTTTCATGGAGCCATCTTCAGTCTGACATCCCCCCCCCCAAAAAGAATTCTAAGGATCCAGAATTTGTTAATTGAGGCTTATGTTTACACCTTGCACTAAGCCATAATGTTACTTGGTTTAGCCACTTGGGTGAGTGAGTGCAGCCATTGAGATTTCTAAACTGTGAATTACAATTTATTTATTTATTTATTTATTTATTTATTTATTTATTTATTATCAAATTTATAGACCACCCTTCTGCCGAAGAACTCAGGGCGGTGTACAGCCAAAGTAAAAAAACATAGATACAAACATTAAAAACAATTTAAAAAGATATATATAAATTTGGCCCCAAAGTTAAAAAAACAGTAACAAACATATTAAAAACAATTAAAAAGCATTAAGCCATCCCGGCTTGCTGAAAAAGGAAGGTCTTCAGGGCACAGCGGAAGGCACCGAGGTCTTGATTTCTTCGTATCTCTGGGGGCAGTTGATTCCAGAGAGCAGGTGCCCCTACAGAGAAGGCCCTCCCCCTGGGGGCCACCAGTCTACATTGCTTGGCCGATGGCACCCTGAGGAGGCCCTCTCTGTGGGAGCGCACCGGTCGGCGGGAGGTCGTTGGTGGCAGCAGACAGTCTCGAAGGTATCCAGGTCCTATGCCATGGAGCGCTTTAAAGGTGGTAACCAACACCTTGAAGCGCACCCGGAAGACCACTGAGAGGCAGTGCAGCTCACGCAGGAGAGGTGTTATGTGGGAGCGCCATGCAGTTCCCGTCACTACCCGCGCAGCCGCACTCTGGACCAGCTGAAGTCTCCGGGTGCTCTTCAAGGGGAGCCCTATGTAGAGAGTCCCCATGTAGAGAGCCATAATCCAGGTGAGAGGTGATGAGGGCATGAGTGACTGTGCACAAGGAATCCCGATTTAGGAAGGGCCGCAACTGGCGGATCAGGTGAACCTGATAAGTCCCCCTGGCCACAGCCGTCAGATGTTCCTCTAAGGACAGCTGTGTATCCAGGATGCCCAAGTTGCGAGCCCTCTCTGTGGGGGCCAACGACTCGCCTCCAATAGTCAGTGATGGGGTCAACTGACTATATCGGGATGCCGGGAACCACAGCCACTCAGTCTTGGATGGGTTGAGCCTGAGCCTGTTCCTCCCCATCCAGATTCACATGGCCTCCAGGCACTGGGACATCACTTCAAGGGCATCATTGGGGTGGCCCGGGGTGGAGATGTACAGCTGGGTGTCGTCAGCGTACTGGTGGTACTTCACCCCAAAGCCACGGATGATCTCACCCAGAGGCTTCACATAAATGTTGAACAGAAGGGGCAAGAGAACCGACCCCTGAGGCACCCCACATATGAGGCATCTCGAGGTCGACCTCTGCCCCCCTGCCAACACGAACTGTGGCCGGTCCGAGAGAAAGGAGGAGAACCACCATAATACAGTGCTCCCCATCCCCAGCTCTTCCAACCAGCGCAGCATGATACCATGGTCGATGGTATCAAAAGCCGCTGAGAGGTCTAACAGGACCAGAACAGAGGAGCAACCCCTGTCCCGAGCCCTCCAGAGATCATCTACCAATGTGACCAATGCTGTTTCCGTGCCCTACCCGGGCCTGAAGCCTGACTGGAATGGATCTAGATAAGACGTTTCCTCCAGGTATTGTGGAAACTGTTGTGTGACCACACTCTCAACAACCTTCGCAACAAAGCGAAGGTTGGAGACAGGATGATAGTTGGCTAACACTGCCGGGTCCAGGGAAGGCTTCTTGAGGAGACGCCTCACCACTGCCTCTTTCAAGGCCGTGGGGAGGTAACCCTCACTCAATGAAGCGTTAATAATTCCCTGAAGCCAGCCTCGTGTAACCTCACGGGAAGCCAGTACTAACCAGGAAGGACACGGGTCCAATAAACATGTGGCCGCACTAAGTCTCCCCAAAGTCCTGTCCACGTCATCAGGGGTCACAGACTCAAACTCTTCCCAGATAACATTCTCAAGTCTATTCCTCGCCACCCTGCCTGAATCTACCCAGTTAGAGTCCAAATCCCCCCGAATCTGTGTGATTTTGTCATTCAGATATTGTCCAAATTCTTCAGCCCTGCCTTCCAGGGGGTCCTCCCGCACTCCCAGATGTAACAGGGAGCAGGTCACCCTGAACAGGGCAGCTGGACGATTATCTGATGATGCAATAAGGGCGGAAACGTAATTAAACTTTGCCGCCTTTATCGCCACTAGGTAGGTCTTAATATGCGACCTTACCAGTGTTCGATCAGATTCAGCGAGACTGGCCCTCCAACCGCTCTCTAGGCATCTTTTCCAGCACTTCAGCTCCCTCAGCTCCTCGGTAAACCATGGAGCCCCACGGGATCGGCACCGGGTCAGAGGCCGCAAAGGCATGACTCGATCTAGAGCCCCCCCAGGTGCCCGGTCCCAGGCAGCTACCAGGTCCCAGGTTATCGACCGAGTCGTGTGCCAGGTCCTCAGGAAATGGCCCAAGCTCTTATCTGGAACCTATCCGGATCCATCAGGCGCCTGGGGCAAAACCACCTTATCGGTTCCGCCTCCCTGCGGCAGGGTGTAGCGGTTTGAAGGTCCAGGTGAAGGAGCGAGTGATCTGTCCATGACAAGGACAGATCACTCCATTTCTATATCCCCTATAAGAAGACCAACCAACCACTGGCCAGAGACAAAAATCAAGTCCAGAGTGTGTCCCCTCCTGTGAGTGGGGCCATGAACTAACTGGGTCAGGTCCATGGCCGTCATGGAAGCCATGAACTCCCGGGCCATCTCGGACGTTTCACCAATGGATGGCAAGTTGAAATCACCCATGACCATAAGCCTGGGTGTATCAACTGCCACCGTGGCTATCACGTCGAGTAGCTCGGGTAGGGCTGTTGCCACGTGGCAGGGAGCCAGGTACATTACCAACAAGCCCATCTGAACCCCATGACCCCACCTATGAACTAATTTTGTAAGTGTTCTTGAACTACTCAGGGCTCATTATTTTCTCCATCCAAACCATATGCATTATCATTTAGTGCAATGAGAACCCAAATCACAAAGGGTTTTGTTTTTGAATTAAATGTATTCAGATGAAATCAATTAAAATAACAATTTAATTTACTATTTAAATTAAAATTATTTATGGTTAATTAGACTAAAATTGAACTGTCTGGGGTTTTACAGTCCTAATTTACTGCAGATTTATTGCGACTGTGTTTTTGACAGAGTATCTTCACTATGTTTGAAATCTTAAGAAGGTGATTGTCCTGCTTCAAAATGGCCACTAGGTGACACTACTATCCTTATTTAATATCTGGCTCACTAGGTACAATATGTTACATTTTGATGGAGCTAGAATATTATTATAAAGAAATTAGCCACTATAGAATACTGTATTGTTTCCAAAGTAATATTCTAATAAGCTATTTCCACTTTTGGCTGCAAGAACTTTTCTGGAGCTTTCAATATTATGAACCACTTTCAACATCGTATTTGTTTGATGTTTTTATCCACATTATTTATGGGTATAGGTAGTCCTTGACCTGCAACAGTTCGTTTAATGACCATTTGAAGTGACAACAGCACTGAGAAAAGTGATTTATGACCATTTTTCACACTAACAACCATTACAGCATCCCCATGATCATTAACAAATGTGACAAGAAAAATCGTAAATTGGGGCAAAACGTACTTAACAAATGTCTCACTTAGCAACAGAAATTTTGGGCTCAATTGTGGTCATAAGTTGAGGACTACCTGTACAATTTTTCTGACTTTTAAATATATTAGCTGCATTAATTGCTGCTCTATTTAGATTCTCTTAGTTTCTGGGGAAATGCAATATTTTAATTTTTTTATTTAAAAGAAATTATTATCTAAATATTCCTGGAGATTTCTCTCAAGACCGTTGTTGATTTGTCAAGATAATGTAATTTTACACAAAGGCCAGTAGTGATCACTGTAACAGAAAACTTTTCTATATGATTTTGAGAGCTACAGCAGAAAAAAATAAATGGCTCAGCTAGTGTTACTTTTATTTTGAGTTGCTGCAAATACCCAGGTAAATGAGATTGAGACTGATTCATTGTTATCTTAACATTTTTTTGACCAGTCACCACACATCTAAGATTGATTTTTATTGTCAAAGAAATGGTCCCCAGTGCTAGAATACTGCTCTCATTGCATTTACATTGCTGACTTTTGAAAATCGACTAAATTTATATATGCTTAGACAGTGATACAAAATAGAATTAAACCATTTTTAAAAACTGATTGGTATTAACTTGCTATTGTAAATTCTGCTATCATGCTTTTCATCCCATGACTGGTTTGAGATGTCAGGTCTTTCTTTCTTTTTCGATATATGTATATTGTTTACTTTTGTTTGGAAATATTTGTCTTTCCTATCACAGGTAATCAGCGAATTTGAAGCTTCTCCTGACTCATTTTCCTACAGAATCCCTAATTTGAGCCGGAATCGACAATACAGTGTCTGGGTTGTGGCTGTAACAGCTGCAGGAAGGGGCAACAGCAGCGAAATCATCACTGTGGAACCATTAGCTAAAGGTGAGGATTCTGCCCTTCAAAATTGTACAACATGTAACTTAATAGAATTACTGAGTGATAGGGACTGAAAAGCCATTTTGTATCTAAGAAAGGCAAAATTGTCCATCCATCCACCTTTAGGCCATTCCAAGTTACAACCAAGAGAACTGGATTACATCATATGGAAGATATACTGTAATGGCAACTTTTGTATCTACCTGTCATGTCTACTCTTCCTCATCAATTAGTTTATTCTAAGTAACATTTTATTTATTCCAAAGCAAGCAAGGTGGGAGAAAAGTACAGGTAGTCCTTGACTTACGTCCTTGACTTACAAGAATAGAATAGAATAGAATAGAATAGAATAGAATAGAATAGAATAGAATAGAATAGAATAGAATAGAATAGAATGTGGGAAGGGACCTTGGAGGTTTTCTAGTTCAACCTCCTGCTTAGGCAGGAAACCCTACACCACTTCAGACAAATGGTTATCCAATCTCTTCTTTAAAACTTCCAGTGTTGGAGCATTTACAACTTCTGGAGGCAAGTTGTTCCACTGATTAATTGTTCTAACTGTCAGGAAATTTCTCCTTAGTCCTAGGTTGCTTCTGTCCTTGATTAGTTTCTACTCATTGCTTCTTGTCCTGCCCTCAGGTGCTTTGGAGAATAGCTTGACTCCCTCTTCTTTGTGGCAACCCCTGAGATATCGGAACACTGCTATCATGTTACCCCTAGTCCTTCTTTTCATCAAACTAGACATACCATGTTCCAGCAACCGTTCTTTATGTGTTTTAGTCTCCAGTCCCCTAATCATCTTTGTTGCTCTTCTCTGCACTCTTTCTAGAGTCTCATCATCTTTTTTACATTCTGGTGACCAAAACTGGATGCAGTATTCCAAGTGTGGCCTTACCAAGGAATTATAAAATGGTATTAACACTTCACGTGATCTTGATTCTATCCCTCTGTTTATGCAGCCTAGAACTGTGTTGGCTTTTCTGGCAGCTGCAGCACACTGCTGGCTCATATTTAAACAATTGTCCACTATGACTCCAAGATCCCTCTCACAGTTACTACTATTGAGCTAGGTACCACATATACTGTACCTGTGCATTTTGTTTTTCTTGCCTAAATGTAGAACCTTACTTTTTTCACCACTGAATTTCATTTTGTTAGATAGCACCCAATGTTCAAGTCTGTCAAGATCCTTCTGTATCTTAAGCCTATCTTCTGTAGTGTTGACTATTCCTGCTAGCTTGGTGTCATCTGCAAATTTGATGAGTTACCCATCTATCCCCTCTTTCAATCATTGATGAAGATGTTGAAGAATTCTGGGCCTAAAACAGAGCCTTAGGGTACTCCACTGCATACTTTGCTCCATATAGATGCAGTTCCATTGAGGACTACATGTTGAATGTGGTTATTCAGTCAGTTACAAATCCATCTGGTGGTGATGCTGTCTAACTCACATTTTTCTATTTTATCAAGTAGTAGGTTATGGTCTACTTTATCAAATGCCTTACTGAAGTCCAAGTATATTATATCGACAGCATTCCTCTGGTCTACTAATACTGTCACTTTGTCAAAGAATGCAATAAGATTAGTCTGGCATGATCTGTTTTTGACAAACCCATGTTGGCTTTTGGTTATTACTTTGTTTGCTTCTAGGTGTTTGCTGATTCGTTGCTTGATTATATTTTCTAGAATCTTCCCTGGTATTGAAGTCAGGCTGATAGGTCTGTAGTTTCCTGGATCAATTTTTTTCCTTTTTTGAAGATAGAAACTACATCAGCTCTTTTCCAGTTGTCTGGCAGTTCCTGACAACATGGTGCTCCGTGATCTTTGCAAAATAGTGGTTCTGAGATCTCATCTGTCAGTTCCTTCAGAACCTTGGGGTATAATCCATCTAGTCCTGGTGATTTGAACTCGTCTAGGGTAGACAGGTGCTCACTTATCATTTTCTTCTCTATTTTAATTTGTGTTCTTAATCTGTTTTTATGGTGATGTTTTTGATAGGTTGGACTGTTTTTTCCCATTTGTGTAAAGACAGATGCAAAAAATGAGTTAAGTAGTTCTGCTTTCTCCCTGTTGCTTGTCATCTTCTTGCCACTTTCTCCCAGCAATGGACCAATTGTTTCCTTGACTTTTTTCTTGTTTCTAATATTTTGGAAGAAGCTTTTTTTGTTTTGTTTTTTTTACTTTTGTCGCAAGCCTTTGTTCATTGTGAGCCTTAACTTTTCTCACTTCATCTTTACAGGCTCTGGCTATTTGCTGATATTTTGCCTTACTTATGTGCCCCTCTTTCCACTTTTTATACTTGTCCTTTTTATCTTTCAATTTGTCAGAGAGTTCTTTATGCAACCATGCTGGTTTCTTTTGAGAGCTGTTATTTTCCTTCTTCATCGGTATTGTGCTAGATTGGGCTTTTATAATCTCACTTTTCAAAATTTCCCAAGTTTCTTGACTTGTTTTCCCCTTGAGGATTCTCATCTATGGAATCCTTTCCAAGCTTTCTCTAAGTTTATTGAAATTAGCTCTCTTAAAGTCCAAGACTGTAGTTTGACTTTGTTCTATTGCTTGTGCTTCATAATGTTGAATTCCAATATTGCATGATCACTCCCCCCCCCAAGGTTCCTGTAGCTTCAACACCTATCAAAATTTATATTGCTAGTTTATGTTGCTAAGTGAGAAAGTTGTTAAGAGAGTTTTGCCCCATTTTACAACTTTTCTTGTCACATGTTAATTGAATCACTGCAGTTGTTAAGTTAGTAACATGGTTGTTAAGTGAATCTGGTTTCCCCATTGACTTTGCTTGTTAAGAAGGTTGCAAAACGTGAGCACATGACCCTACGACACTGCAACCATCATAAGTGTGAGTCAGTTGTCAAACTTCTGAATATAAATCACATGACCATGGGGATGCTGAATGATCATAAGTGTGAAAAATGGTCATAAGTCACTTTTTCAGTGTTGTTGTAACTTTGAATGGTCACTAAATTAACTGTACAGAAACAAGAATCAGGAAGGCAGTAGGTAGCAGACATGATGCCTGCATAAGTGTTTAAAACTCTTAAAGTTTAATATTCCAGGTCTCTGGCTGAGGTGTGAATAGCAATCCTATACGCAGCATGTTGTAAATAGATCTGATAGACTTATTGCTAAAAGAGCCTTAATAGGGCAAAGAACTATTAGTAATGCATGCCATAGGACAGAGAAACACTATATTTTTAAGAAAAAGGATATGTTTAATCTCCGTGATTACATAGATACTTTTGATTATTAAGTGGCAAATCTGAATTAATTGATGAGTCATCATGGCTTTTCTGTTTCCTGTGCCTCATTAACATCGCCTAGGCCAGAGGTGTCAAACTCAAAGCCTGGAAATATCAAAGGACCGGCCCGCAGTGTCTCTGCTGACTAGAAATGGGCCATACAGAGGCATCACAAAGCCTCCACATGGGCCATTTTCGGCTTCCTCAGCCTCCAGCAGCACTCTGCTGGCCAAAACTGGGGAGGCCCCACAGCCCATTTTCGGCCGACACAGTGCTGCTGGAGATCAGGGAGGCCGAAAATGGGCCACGCAGAGGCCAAGTGGGGCCTCCACACAGCCCATTTTTGGTTGGCAGAATACTGCAGGAAACGTCCATCCCGTCTCCCTCCCCCCGCTCTCCCTCCCCCCCCCCCGCCAGCCTGCGGAGAACTACAATGCTGATCCGGCCCTTGAAGAAATCCAGTTTGACACCCTTGTCCTAGGGGTTTAACATAATGTTATTACTAGGTTTCATTCACTTCTATTCCTTTTGATCAACGAAACTAACTTTGTGTATAGTATTTTACTTTTTGGTTTGTTTGTGTGTATTTTTGTATATTTTGTGCATTTTATTGCATATTTGATTTTGTGTTTTGTATCGTAACTTTATTTGTTCGCACAGTTCTCCTGAGAAGTAGACACATTTCTTGAACAGGCCATAATCACAATTTTAGAATCATCATGTATATAAAATTCTTTATTGGCCATATGTGATTGGACACACAAGGAATTTGTCTCCAGTGCATAAGCTCTCAGTGTACATACAAGCAACAAGTGATAATCATAATCATAAAATACAATCATCATAAATCATAGATACGATAATCAGTAATAGTCATAGGATACTAAAGCAATGAACATAAATCATAATAGGATATTAAATAAAAGCAATCAAAATAATTCATGACATACAAAAACAAGTTATAGTCATAAGAATCTAAGGAAATAGGTAATAGGACAGATGAGAAAGGTAATAAGTAATATAGCCCTATTAGGTGGTTTGACATAGAGCATAGATACTGTTGTGGGAATTAGTTGGGTAACAGAGTGATAGCAAAGAGGAAAAACTGTCTTTGTATCTGGTTGTTTTGGTGTGCAATGCCATACCGTTGTTTTGAAGGAAGAAGTTGAAATCTTCTTTTCCTTCTGTTATGTGGCCTAGCAGTGTCTAAAGTGAAATAATCTTCATTGCTTTATTTGTTCCAGAAGCACTAGTTGTAATGAATTTCTTTGACATACTCTTTAGATAAAATAACCAATGAGATTAAACATTCCACTTATTTTTTATTTTATTTTTGTAATGCTGGTCTAAATGATTTAAATCAGAGTCTTACCCTATCATCTGCTCTTCATTATGAGCTGTTGTTTCTACTTAATATACTTGGCTGAAAAAATGCTGTGGTAGTTTATAGCTACAAATTATAATCAACCGTTTAAATATTCTTGGTGATTGATATACTAAAAGATAAGCAATGTCACCATCATCAAAAAATTTGCAGACCCATCATCATCATCCAAAAATTATTAATAGATATGACAATAATAATGATGGATGTCAATGAACTAATTAACACCAAACCATCTCAAGAATTGCTCATTCTTGACCAAGTTTTAAAATTCTATTAAAAAGAGTGCAAGTATAATTTTTGAGGGAAGCTGGTCCATAAAATTAGAACCACAATTGAAAAACAATGCCTCCTCATTTCACAGAAATGGGGAACAACAAACAGCTTCTCCTATGATGAATGTATCAGGCAGGACAATTCTGACTGGAGAAGGTAGTCCTGCAGATGACTTGAAATTGTGTTGTACAGCATCTTATATATCAGAACTGGCATTTTGAGTTGACCCAGAAACCTATTGTCAATCAGTGCAAAACCTGCAATACAGGTATTATGTGCTTCTGATAATTAATATCTGCCAGTAAACAGGTCACTGCATTCCAGACCAACTACAGTTTTTGACTGGTTGAGGCAGCTCCACATTGCAGTAGACCCGATGAAGATGAGCTACTGTTATAAAACCTTATGTAGCTAGATGGAATTGCAGCTGGTGCATTAGTTGGTTCTGGGGAAAGGCATTTATGACTATGGTCTGCACAATTCCATCTAACAGCAATTGTTAGTGTAGGAGGACCCCTCAGTTCACTGACATGCTCTCTTAAGAGTAGGGCCTCTCCTTCCCGTCTCCAACTCTCATAAACAATCAGGAAGAATGTCATGGCTGATGTTACCTAAAGTTTGTGGGGGTCCTAATAGGGCCCAAAGGGATACACTATCTTTATTCAGATCCCCATAAAAATTATTCAGCAGTGTGATCAAGCCCTTTTGCATCTCTTAATAATATGTGAGGTCTTGCTGGGTGTAAACAACCAGACCCACATATGCAGAGTTCAAGCAAGCTACTTTATTATGTTCTGCTTCTTATTCAGGAATCTCCCTAGTCTGGCAACCTACTCCTGGGAACAATTAGATAGCACTTCAATAACTTAAAGAGGGGGAGGTGTCAACCATAGCCTTGTGCTGTTGTGCAGTGATTCCAGGGTAGCACTGTGCTCAATCCCTCCTTCTTGCTAGGCTGGGTGCTTCCAACATGTCTAGATTAGACAAACCTGATGAAAAATGGCTGTGTAATTTACTTAGTTTCTGTAAAAATGGCAGCATGTTTAGCCAAGGACAGAGAATGGGAAGCAGAAATACAGATTAGAATCCCAAAGTGCACCCAACCTTTTCATGTACAGCTATTCATGTTTAGTGTGAGACATTTTTATTGCTTTCTGTTGAATGAAACAGATTATTCAAGTATCATTTTATGGAGTTACTTACGTTAACCAAATCTTTGAAATATTAACTGTGCAGTTAGATGTGCTTTGATTTATTTGCTTCATATGCTGTCTATTGATGCTAATATCTAAATTATCTAAAAAATGTAAAGAAAGAAAGAAAATCTTCAGCTACAGAATATGTTTCAGAATTCTTCCTCAAGTATCCTCTTAAACAACTTTCAGCCTACCTGAATACAACAATATATTAATTTACTCAGTTAAAACACATAAGCAGACTTGTGAGCCTGAAGGAATTGTTCCACCTTTTTCACAGAATAGACAGCTCCCACTTTCCTTTCAAAGTGATGCTTGGACTTAATCTGTGCTGAGCCACTGTGATACCTACAGTGCTGGCAATCGCATTCATCTCTTCTCAGCTACTGTTCTATAAAAAGAAGTTTCTAGAAATTGTTCTAAGTATTCAGGTTTGAATTTGGTCATTCAGACTCCTCTTTGAAAGTTATCTCTTCTTCATTTCCTATTCCTTTCCCCTTTTCCCTTCATTTGTACATGCTATTTTTTATTGGTTCACTTCATTTTATCCTTCCAGGTTTCCATCAAAGAAACAAAGAAGTTATAAAAATTCAAGGGACATATATAAGTTTGTTTGTCCCAGTTCTCCAATTAATAATTTTTAAAAGTGCAATATCTGAAAATCTATGGCACCCCCAGACTATCTCTTTATATCTTTCTTTTTCTGAGAAAGATAAGAATGAACTCACTTCAAGTTTTCCCCACAATAAAGTTCGAGGAATTTTAGGCATGATGACTGCATATGAAAAGATACCTTACCAAATAATAGGTTTGAACATGTTTAGTGTTTTACTCCAGCAATAATAACATATTTATTTTTATTCATTACTATCATTAGGATCATTGTTTTGCAACCATTTTTTCAGCAGATGTTAAATTATACTGTGTTCCACTAAGCAACTAGTAAAGTGGTTTGAAATAAATTAGTCTATATAAGCAAAGTAAGACATTTTTATAATCATCATAATCCTCTTCCTTCTCCTGTTTTTCTCCTCTCAAGAAAGGAATGCCATATTATTCTGCATTTTAGCCCTATTTTTCCTTCATTTCTTAGCTCCAGCCAGAATTTTGACATTCAGTGGCACAGTAACAACCCCATGGATGAAGGATATTATTCTCCCTTGTAAAGCTGTTGGAGATCCTGTACCTACCGTTAAATGGATGAAAGAAAGGTAACCAACAACTATGTGTGCAGTACAAATGACGGTTGTTATGTCATTAGATGTGTGAAAAAAGGAAGAGAAGGATTGTAATTAGGCCAATGCATGCGTTGAAAGTGATTCAGAAGAAATACATCTCAGATGAATATGAGTACATCACTTCTCTATGTTTAATTAGAACAACCTATTTCCTTTCAAGTTTTGCATGTGTCAGAGAAACAAAATATGGATGCTTTAAGAGTTGCATTGATTTTAATGAATGAACTGCTAAAAGAAGCAGTATCTTTTTTTCAAGTGCCCCCCCCCCAAAGTCTGCGAAAAGACAGGCGCAGAATAGGCCAGTGCTTGCACAAAGTCCAAAGTACTGTACATCTTCTGAGTTATTTTGTGACTCCTTGTTATCAACTCCCAGTCATTCTTAATCATAAACCTGATTAATCCATAATCTGGGATTACTTGAACTATTTTCCACCTGGGTATTTAATTTAATTCAACATATGTCAATACAGGTTCTTGTCAAGCAGTTTAATATTAAAGAATATATTTAATTTATGGTCTGTGTATTTTTCCAGATGTTAGGAGTTACCTCAAACATATCAAAGAACAAATCCCCTATTAGTGGGTTTCAGCTAATCTTTTGTTGCCAGGCATTTTACAAAGTTCTTTTACAAATTAGTGTATTAGGATGGTTTTGTTTCTAAGATTTTTTTTCACATTTGCTTTTCCCCCCCATTTAATTAAATAATTCATCACTCAGTCAGATCCTGCTGTATTCTGTAAATGAAGTCCTTCCATCTTTAAACTGACAGTATGCTGAGTATAGTATGTTTTATATATAATTGCAGCAAGGAAAATTATAAGGAGATTGTTTTCTCCAAATTTTTCTCCAAAGTAGATTCCTTTTGTTTCCATGTGTACTGATAACTGATGTATTTAATTCCTGAGATTAAAAAATAGTGACTCAACACTATACCAATGTAAACAAAGTAACAAATATTTTTCTAAAGTCAATACAGTACTACTTTTTTTGGGGGGGGGGGTATTATATATCCAAGGTGTTGTAATGTAAACCTCAACCAGCAGGTGGCATTAAGATGGTTTCTTTGATTTCCTCAGATCTCTGCAAAATCAGATTCTCAAACTATTGAATTTCAATACTATAGTGATTTCAGCCAGGACACATAAGGACGCTTACTTGTGATTCGTTCAATTGCAGCATAATACCTCTGCAACAAGGCTTAGCCAACCAAGTAGTCAGCTAGGGTGCTATCTAGCTAGTTGTTGAATTCTTTTTCTGAGGAAGAGGCTAAAGCCTGGCAGGCCTAGGTGGGACAGTCAGCTCATGATATCCAATAATAAACCTGACCTGCTCATCTTCATGTTCTCACTGCCTGTCCTCTCTCATAGCTGCCTTGTCTACAGCCATGGCTTTTATTGGCAAGTCTTCTGCAATGGCTTCAGCTGCTGGTCTGCTTCCAAACACGCAGCAACTAGATCCAGCAACTCCTCAGCTCGTCAACATTTTCTATAAAAGTGATTTCCTGCATTAATCTGATTTCCTGGGGGGGGGGGCTGTACTCCCTTTTATTTAATTAATTTATTTCCCTTTTCTATATGAAAAAATATCTTGTATGTTGAGCATTCCAAAAAAGGCTCAGGGTGGTGACAATGCCTTAACCAGCCAGAAATCTGATTAGGAAGTAGCAGAATTGATGTTGCAAAGTATTCACTTCCTTGGGACTCACAGTCTCCAAATGAGCCTGCCTCAAGTGTAGCAGACTCTTCCATTGGCATTGTCTAGCTCAAGTCTAGCAGGTCTCGAAATTACATGGTTTTGCCTACCAAATGCTTTGGAAATGCTTCTTCACAGACACCTTTTAGAAAGCTGTGCAGACATCTTTTCCTAAAAGGAAAAAGGATGTCTTAAAAAGGGCCACTGCGTGACATTCAGCAGATGCAAAATGGGTGACATATTATCTCCTTTTTGCCACTTGAATTGCTACTCTATAAGTTCAAATATGATTTTGTGTTAGTTTTTCGTTAGATTTAAGACAGGTTTTCTTTCACATGCTCTCCAGGGAGTCTCCTCTGCATCTTCTTGAGCTTCTCAGTGAACTAAGGAGCTGCAGTAGATGTAAAATTAGGGAGTGGTGCTTCATTGCAATCTGATCCAATTCCCCATCCACTGTTCATTTCGGTGGTTAACTACAATCTCAGCCAAACTATCCATGAGAATCTTTAGAGACTTCCCAAGAGTCCCTTCAAAACCGTAGGATCTATCAGATCAGTGGTGGGTTGCTACCAGTTCACCCCGGTTTGGCTCCACCTGTTGTGGCTCCATTGCCTGAGCCTGGGCTATTGACAGATGCAGACTCTGAGAGTGAGGGGGAGGAGTTGGCAAGGCCTCCCTCTCCAGGACCCTCCTCTCTGGCAATGCCTCCGGAGGACACCGAAGGCCAAACAATAGGCTCAGAGCCAAGCACGTCCCCGCAGCCACAGGTGGACAGCGACGAGGAAAATAAGTGCTGGCTGGACCCTTGCCAGAGGCTCAGGGAGAAGTGTGTGCAGCAGAGGGGAAGGCGTGCCAGAGATTAGCTGAGTCACTGGACCACATCCCACAGGCTATAAAAGGGAGTGTGGTGGCCATTCGGACTCTGTGACGGACAAAGCTAATCTCTGGCGAGGCACTTTGCACCTTCGGACACAACACCTATTTGCTGTGGATTTAATTACAAACTGGACTATTCAAACTGTGTGTATTTTTGTCTGTGTTATCGGAGTAAAAGCTCTTGGCAGGTAGCCACGGAGTTGCTGCCAAGTTCCTTATCACTGACGTTGAGTGTTTGAAGAGTTTATTTAACCCTTGGCTGGCTGGTTGGGTGTGTGCGTGGTATGGGGACAGAACACCACCCACCCGCCCAGATGTCATCAAAAATGCTCTGCGCATGGGCAGAACCTTATGCAAAGCAATTGCACACTCCCAATAGTGAACCTGTAGCCCCGGGATTTGAAACCCACTGCTGTATCAGATGCCTTCAATGGGCCAATATAATACCTTCTTCCACTGTGAGGGAGATTGCACCACAAAACCCCACAGCAATCAGAGAGTGATCTACCCATGATCATTCCCTCCACTTTCAAATCACATTATGTTTCCCCTGAGACAAAAACCTCTAATATGTGCCCTCTCATGTGTTGGACCCTCAATAAGTTGGGCCATGTCCATTATTGTCATGGCAGCCATTAACTTCTGGATCACTCCAGATTTCTAACTAAGGGAAGGCAGGTTGAAATCCCCTAATGCTACTAGCTAACCACCTTACCTGGAGTTATTCTGTCCCCATCTCACACACGCACACAAACAGTCAGCCAGGAGTTAATAAAACCAGCAGTCATGAATTCCTTTGAGATAACAGAATTGGCAGCAACCCAGTAGCTGCCTGCCAAAAACTTTACTCACAAAGGGAGGTTTTTCTCCTCCGTCAGATAAACCAAAATAAGTCCACAAAGCCAAAGAATTGTCAAGTCCAGTCCGTAAATAATCCAAGGAGGGCATATAACAAAGTTCCAGAAACGCAGTATGACTTGCTAGCTTTTCAGTTTTGTCTGTCACAAGGCCTGAATGGCCACCACACCCCCTTTTATCCCCTGTGGGGTGTGGTCCAGTGACTCAGTTTAATCTCTGGCACACCTCCTTCTCTGCTACGCGCGCTTGTCTTTCCAACGCTGTCAGGGATCCAGCCAAGACTCATCTCCGTCGCTGTCTAACTGCGGCTGCTCGGAAGTGCCTGGCTCCTGGCCCATCTCTTGGCCTTCGGAGGACACCTGAGGCATTGCCAGAGAGGAGGGTCCTGGAGAGGGAGGCCTTGCCAACTCCTCTCCTTCACTTTCGGAGTCTTCTCCCTCTGATAAGATGGGCTTGGGGGTCGGAGTCATAACAGGAATCAAGTCAAGCAGTCTTTGCAGGGACTCTGCACTCTGCAATGGGGGGAAGAGTTACATAGGGCCCAAACTGGCCCTAACAGGATCTCACATCTGGTTCTCTATGGTGAATGTCTCTTGATGCCAACAAAGATTCGTGGATGACAGGAACTACCACTCCCTGGCATTACCATTACAGAGACCAAGGCTGATGCCAAACCCAAAACATGTGTAGGGAGTTTTTTGTGAGAGGAATTTCCTGCTCCTCTCTCTGGTTTCAAAAAAGCATGCCGGTCTGCTCTATCATCATTAAAAATTTCATTGTAGCAAATGAGGGCCCTGGATTTCAAGGAACTAGAGCCATGCCTCCTGGAATGAGAACTAAGAGCTGGGAGGGAGTAATTAGTTAAGTTACCACCTTTTCTGAATGGTGGCTTTTGCCCATCACAACTAAAATCCCATTCCATCATAACTTTCCCTCCTTGTATTATCAGCACCCTCCCTGCCCAAGGAATTTCCTGTCATCAAGCACAGGTCACACTCAACCAAGAATCAGATGATCCCTTCAGATGCTCAACTCATCAAACAATCACCTGAGATATATATCTGGTCTGCTTCCTTTCCATCTCCCTGCCTTGCTGTCACCTGAGTCAAGAGACCTACTCAAAACTGGGTGACTGGAGCCTAACTCCAACTCTCAGGAAATAGTTCACATCTGCCCCCATCCAGTTCCAAACCTGATAACATCTTCAAACTCTCTGGGTGGAGTAGTTCATTCTCCCCTATTGCTACTTGTGCTTCTGACATTCTTATACCCTTATGTTACTTCCTGAGACTGGCTGATGAGAAGATAGAATTGTCCCAAGCATCCATTTATTTCTTAACCTGTTGCAAAAATAGTAATAAATTAACCATTGTAGCACCATTCAATATGCAAATGAAATCCATCACAATGTTGAATTTTAGATTGTTCTGCAATAATCAGACATACTAATCTCTACCAGTAGAAGCTTCTGTGTGGTTTCAGTTTCGATTCTTTATATATACTGTATAAGCGATTTTCTTTCCAGGCATTTCCCTCTTCCCTTCTGTATTTTTAAAACTAACCCCAGATCTAAGTTATATTGGTTGTAACTTCTTTAATGTATGATTTTTGTTTCCTGTGAGGCAGTAACGGGACACCCAGTCTAGTGATGATTGATGGGCGAAGAAGCATCTTTAGCAATGGCAGTTTTGTTATCCATACTGTGAAAGCAGAAGATTCAGGATATTACAGTTGTGTGGCTACTAATAACTGGGGATCAGATGAAATTATTTTGAATTTGCAAGTTCAAGGTAAGTTAACAATGTTTCTTTCACTGCAACTATTTCTTAGCTTAAATAATTTTTATTATTATCAGGATAATAGAACATTTCAAAATGTAAACTGAAGTTATTGTGTGTCCCTGGAAAGCAACTAGGAGAATAGAAAGCTCTCAGATATCTCAAAGGCTATACAATGGATATGTTCTTTGGTTCAGAGAACTAGAATCAGTATATATAAATTACTTGGAAGCAGATTTATTCTGAGCATTACAGGAAACTTTCAAATTGTAAGAATTGGTTAAATTGCTGTGTTCACACAACACACGTTTCCATGTCTGATTTAATCATGAACAAACTCCATTTTCTAGGTTAACATAGTATGTTAGCTTTCAGTAGTGACTTACTGACACAGATGTTATTCTTCAATGACATAAAAGTGATTGGAGACAGTAGTGCATTGTTCTGACTTTCACCAGCCTATCAATACATCTAATTGTGACTGATGTTGGGAACTGAAGTTCAGCCATATATAAAAGGGTGATACATCTGATGCATAAGAATAGTTGGAAAAGTATTTTCCCTGCCTCCTGGAAGAAGATTATGCAGGGACTGCAGTGATGGAAAAGTCAAAGGCAAAAATATGATTACGAATGCCAGCTAAAATTAGATAATATTTGAATAGTCAAGGAAAAAGAATGTTCCTGGTATGTTTTAATTGAAGATGTCATATTAGCAGACACATCGACAGATACAATTTGCATATTTTCTCACCTCAATTCTGTGATAAATATATTCAAAATCAAACTATTCTTCATTTCTGCTTTTAACTATTTCTTATTTAGTTCCACCTGACCAGCCTAGACTTACTGTATCCAAAACCACCTCTTCCTCCATCACTCTTTCCTGGATACCTGGAGACAATGGAGGCAGCTCTATTCGAGGTAACATTCAATAGTTCCCTTTCAATGCCAGAATGTTTTGGGTTTTTAAAAAAGTCGTGCCTTACATGTTGCCACTTCATCCCAACAGAAGGTTATGTTAGTTGTGCTTATCAAAAAGTTCAGTTATCTGAAAAATGCTGCTTGCTTGACAGTAAGGATTTGGATAATAGTGTCCCATATGAATCAGAGATGCCAGTTATTTAGATAACAAAATATTGTATGATATGCCCTAGAATGGATTATAAAAAAATTACTGGCATTCCTGATTTAGGTTTGATTGATCAATATTATATTTCATCTGGGATATTGTTAATTACTGAATTCTCTTAACAGGTTTGAATAAATTAAAAACATTAAAATTGTTAAAATAAAAATAAAAGCAAATAAAATAAGTATATTTGATAGTTAAATATAACAAGTAATCAACACAAGCCTCTTCAAAGTGATACTCAACTCTTTAAGAAGAGCAGTTGAAATAACTCGAACAGCCACAGCATAGAAAACTAACTTGAATCAGGATCAGATCAGTTCATAACAGTTGTAGATGAGCTTCCTCAATTGATGTCAGTAAATACTGGAAGTTCATATAGAAAGTGTTGTGGTCTGCCAGCAGCCTGCGGAGCTGGCAGCGGAGTCGGACAATGAGGCTGGGGAGGAACATGGGCCAGTCCTGGAGTCTGGGGAAGGCCCGGATGAGGGCTCTGCATCAGAGGCAGAGATGGGGCCAGGGCCATCTGGGAGTTATGTGTGGACTCCGGAGCCTCCAGAGTCAGATAGCAGAGAGGCAGAGGAACAGGAGAAGCCTGTTCCTAGTGTGCACATGCGCAGAGCTGCCAGAAGGCATGAAACAAAAGGAACAACTTGGGAGTAATGCCTGGAGATGATTGGCCCCTCCCATAAGGCTTAAAAGAGGAGCAAAGGCATGTGGGCCCTTTGCAGGAAAGCAACATTGTTAATTCTGTTCCCAGTCAGCATCTCTGTTTGATTCTGGACTCTGTGTGGCTTTACCAAGTAGCTCTTTGGCAGCATGTCAAAGGAGATAAAGGTTGGTGATTATCCCAAAGGACTTTTTGCAACTAATTGGGACTCAGCTGTGAATGAAAGTAATTCACAGCTGTTGCAATAAAAGAGGTTTTTGGGACTACTCCTGTGTTTTAATGACTCAGTAAGCATAGGTCACAACAGAAAGGTAAATATTCTCACAGAGCCTAGACTTAAGGCAGGGTTTTAAATTAATGACTGGTGCTTCGTATTTTGTACCAAATTGAATTGGCAGACAGAGCGTTATCAGTGTAAGTGTTTCTGGAGTAAACCCAAAGGCCAGTTTGTAGTTCCACATAGAGTGCATTACTACATTCGAACCTGGAGGTTACCAGCATGCAATCTATCATTTTATCATCTTGTTTCCAGAAAGGGATGCAACTGGCATAAAGTGGCATATCATCTGAAGGTAATAAAAAGTGTCCCTGATTGGAAAACCAGAACAAATTGAGGTCTTTAAACTGTACTTTCTTCTTCAGGGAGAGTGTAATCCCATTTAAAACTAGCAACCCACCACATTCTAGAAATGTAGTCCCATCTTCAACTTTAAAAAAAAATCCAAGAAGATGCAGAAGAATTTCAAAGTTCTTATTAATTCCCCTGATGTAGAAATACTCCTTGATTTATATAACTTTTTAATCTAATTAATCAGAGTGTTCTGCAGTATTGGACTATGTTTTGTTTTTGTTTTAATCTTTGATAGGTTATATACTGCAATACTCTGAAGACAACAGTGAACAGTGGGGTAGTTTTCCTATTAGCCCTAGTGAACGTTCCTATCGATTGGAAACGCTGAAGTGTGGCACGTGGTACAAGTTTACTCTGACAGCTCAGAATGGAGTGGGACCAGGCCGTATCAGTGAGATCATAGAGGCCAAAACACTTGGGAAAGGTATTTGAAATTATATCCTGCCTTTATTCTAAATTAAGTATTTGAGTTCCCATCTGCAAAATAGTTTGAAAAGTTGGATCTGTGAATTATTTTCCATAAAATGTGAATGAAACAAATTCATTGAGCAATCTCTACTGTAGTATGCAGTATAGGCTGAAGTCTTAGGCCATGCCGCTAATATTGGGTATTGCAACTTGTTAGAATTTTTGTTCCTTCTTAAAGATACCGTATTTTCCGGCATATAAGACGACTTTTTAACACATGAAAATCTTCTCAAAAGTCGGGGGTCGTCTTATACGCCGGGTGTGTTCTCCTGTAACCAGGCAGACCAGCCCGAAAGGCTCTGACGAGCCTTAAATGGCTCTGGCGATCCCAGCTCTGACGATCCCAGCTCTGACGATCCCAGCTCTGACAATCCCAGCTGAGTTCCCTGCAACTCAGCTGGGATCGCCAGAAACCATGTAAAAGGAAAAGTTTTTTCCCTTTTACTCTGACGATCCCAGCTCTGACGATCCCAGCTGAGTTCCCTGCAACTCAGCTGGGATGGCCAGAGCCATTTAAAAGGGAAAAAGTTTTCCTCCTCCAGCTTGCTTACCTCAGCTGCTAGTCGCAACGCTTGCCTTGCTTTGCTTGCCTGAATCTATTCAGGCAAGCAAGCAACTCCCTGCCTGCAATCAAGCAAGGAGTTAGTTGTGGACTTCAACTCCCAGAATTCCTCAGCCAGCAAAGCAAAGCTGGCTGAGGAATTCTGGGAGTTGAAGTCTACAAGTCTTAAAGTTGCCAAGGTTGGAGACCCCTGTTCTATTGGGTAAGTTTTTTCCCCCTTTGGGAGCTTTAAAAAAAATAGTCAATTGGGGGTTTTTTAGCTGTTCTTTTTTAGACCTAGCCATTTAAAGTTTAGGAAGTTTTAAATTTAGCTTTCATATAAAAATAAAAATAAAATAAAATAAAACAATATTTGTGCAGCTTTCTGAGATTTAGTGTGTTTCTGTAGTGTTTCACTCCAACTACACAAACACACAAAATCTCACAAAGCTGTATGTGGAATTTGGTGTGTGTAAAGTGTGAAAGTTGGTTTTTTGGACTTTTTGTGGCTGTGTGAGGTTCCTGCTTGTTGCAGGGGCCATTTTGGGTCTAGCACAGCTGCTTTTACATTGTGGGTGAGCCAGTTGTGTTGTGTTGTGTGTGTTTAGAGTGTGAAAGTTTTTTGGGGGGGCTTTTTGTGGCTGTGTGAGGTTCCTGCTTGTTACAGGGGCCATTTTGGGTCTAGCACAGCTGCTTTTACATTGTAGGTGAGCCAGTTGATGTTTTTTAATTTTTATTTGGTGTGCGTTGGAAGAGGGGTAGTCTTATATGGCGAGTATAGCCCAAACCCTATATTTTAACAGGAAAAGTTGGGGGTCGTCTTATACGCCCAGTCGTCTTATACGCCGGAAAATACGGGTACCTCTTTCATCCTCTAGTGTGACAAAGGTATTGGTGTCTATACATGGACTTGTACACTGAATGTAGGTCTCCAGGGGAACACAGTCTTCTTAGATTTCAACAGATTACAGTCACTGCAATTGCATTCTAAACTGCCATTAGCCCCTTCCCAATGTATATCCTCTCTCCAAAAATATCATACACAAAGAACTCCAAAAACTATAGCTATGAATAGAAAGCAGAGGACAAAGGGGGGAAATGAAAAAAAAGGTTGTTTTAAAAAATCTTACACAAGAGTAAAACAAACAGAAATAAAATGCATTCCAACTTGAAGATTAAAGAGAGATTCCCACCCGAGAGACTTGAAGTCACTGTGTCTTCTATCAATCTATTATAACTTTTTAAATCTGAATATATATTTTCTTGTAGAGCCACAGTTTTCAAAAGAACAAGAACTCTTTGCCAGTATTAACACCACTCGAGTAAGATTGAACCTTATTGGCTGGAATGATGGTGGTTGCCCAATCACCTCCTTTATTCTGGAATACAGGCCATTTGGGACAACAGTGTGGACTACTGCACAACGAACATCACTTACCAAATCATATATAGTATATGATCTTCAGGAGGCAACCTGGTATGAGCTGCAGATGAGAGTCTGTAACAGTGCTGGCTGTGCTGAAAAACAGGCAAAATTTGCAACACTCAACTACGATGGGAGTAAGTACATTCATTTCACTGTTGTTTAATCAATAATATTCACAAATAATCTCATTTCATATAATGTAACTTAAGTGCCATTCATTTTTTTGTTTTGCAATATGGCACTTGTGTGTAGTAAAGGAAACAGTAATAATGTTTGCAGGCTAAACTTCCACCTTATACCTCGTCTTATTGAAACATTTTTACATGGAGCAGCTGAATTTATATCAGGTTTTTCAGGGAGCTTGTTAAGCAGTACAGTTCATCCCTGCAATGGATGCTTCAGGGTACAAGTAGGATGCTTTTGTGTTCCTTTAGGATCTCCAACAACTTTTTAATGCTTCTATGTTCTTGATCTAATTAAACACACAGTTCACCCTTAAAGCACCCAAAATGTTAATTCTGGCACAAATGTTAGAAAATATTAGGATTTCATTCATGGTTTGCTTTTGAATTTGAAGAATAAACAGTTACGTAGAGAGTAGCAGTGAGTAGCTACAGATTTGTACTTGAAACTTTCTGCTTCACTTTTTCCAGGTGCTTCAGCCTTAATTTCCCTTCTTCTCCCCTCTCTTTGAAAATGAACCCTGTAGTGGCAACATTTAAGTTGGCTTAGCTTGTCCAGGTTTTACTTTTTACTATACAGAAGGATTTATTTATATACCCTTGTTGAACTGAATCAGAAATACTTTTGACTCCACACTGTTATTCCATACCCTGACTTTGGGAACAAGGGATACCAGGGTCTGATTTTGAACAAATCTTGAAAAGTGCTAATTCTTAATAGACACATATCTTCACTTTTAAAGGAAAAGGGGCCTCATTGCTCTTAAAAGTAACTGATAGTTGGTATTTCACTTAGAACCTTTTTGAAGATATGCATGACCCTTCCATTTTCTGCACTGGCTGACTACAGGGCTTCAAAAAATAAGATGTGAATTCAGAAATCAATCTGGAACATTTTGTGTGTAAAGAACGTGTTGTCCAAAGAGCTGTAGCCTTTATGAAGCAGATCATTTATCTACCTCAGTGGTTCCCAACCTTCTCTTTCAAGTAGATCATAACATTATCACTAAAAAAAATTTAAAATCACCACATAAGTCACAGTTAACAATACACAGATATCATGGCTTATTACTCCCATACAGCACACTTAATTATAATCTGTGGTGTCTGATTTAAACATTTTATTCTTCTTAATGGAAATGACAGATTTTTCATAAGATTTATTTAGTCCCATATGACAATTTGTGAGCAAGGATGCCAAAAATTTTCAAGATTTAGTAATTTCTTGAGATTTTGGACATTTTTAAAAATAAATTTTATTTTTATTTTGTTACTTAACAAATATCTATGGTATCCTTTTCAAGTACCATATTTCTCAAGACGCACTGGAGTATAAGATGCACCTATCTTTTTTGGTGAGGAAAAGAAGAAAAAGAAATCTCCCTCTGCCTCTCAGCAATTTTACCTAGTTGCAGCAAACAGCAAACAGCCTGCTATACTTTCATTTTCGTTTTCAGCATAGCTTGATTAGCACAAGAAAAAAAAAATCTGCTCCAGCAATTTACCTCTTTGCAGCAAGCAGTAGAGCCCTGCGCAAAATAGCTGAGAGCTTGTGCTAATTAGGCTGTGCTGAAACTGAAAGGAGCTGCTTTTTCTTGCTGTTTGCTTGCAAGGAGGTAACTGCTGCGAGGCAGAGGCCAAAGGGTGGGGGCCAGTGGGTGGGTGAGCTACATTTGGTGTATAAGACGCACCTAAATTTTCACCCCCTTTTAGGGGGGAAAAAGGTGCATCTTATACTCCGAAAAATACGGTAGTTGGTCACAATCACAATTTAGGAACCATTGCTTGAGAATAGTCTCTGAAAAAAACTGCTTCTCATCTAAACCCTCATCTTAGTTCTCTTACCTATTTACCGACAGTTTATTACCGTGTTTCCCCGAGAATAAGACCCTGTCTTATATATATATATATTTTGAAACCTGAAATAAGCGCTTGGCCTTATTGCCATGTGCTCAAAACCCCGATTGGGCTTATTATCAGGGGATGTCTTATTTGGGGGGGAAACAGGGTAGTTGAATTTGCATTGGTGCTGATCTATTCTTATCCAGTGAAAACTATCATTTATATGTGCATATAAATTTAAGAATGTAAGAATTTAAGACATCGTTGAAAAATGTACATCATTTCCTTAAAATGGCCCTAAAAATAAAAAGAGCCATCCTCATTTGTGGCTACAAATTATAAAAGGTGATGAGTATAAAAGGTTCTAATTAGAACACCCATGGTTACATGGGTGATTTTAAATCTAGTACTAACTTTTATGTAGATTCAAAATACGATGTAATTAGCTTTTAGTAATGTATAGCAATCAGTGCTACTGGATGATCCATACTAAGCATAGATTTGCTAACTGCTTAGTGATTTAAATTTTAGAAAAGTAGCAAATGCCAGCCACATTTACAAAAGGACTTCATTCTACATAAATTAGATCTGTTAGATCTGTTAAAGAAAAGTTCAAATTAGGCTCACAGGGTATATATGTCAGCTCTTTCAACTACTGGCCCATCCCTTCCTGCCTATGCATCTTAAAATTTATTAAATAATAAAAGAGAAATAAGATAAACCACTCAGAAATGCTTGAAAAAAGAAATGACTACATTACTGTGAGAGCAGCTAAATGGTTCCCTTCAGAATCAGTAAGTCGAGGAACCTCCTTTAGTAGTCACTGAACTTTCCATTACATTCGACTTTGTTAAGATTATTTTGAATAAAATAGCGTAATAGAAAACTGCAAGAAAAGAATCAAAATCTAGTAATATCTTTCTTGACAATAAGACTTAGTGCCTTTGAAAATAAAAAGAGTAGATGGCTTCTTTTGCCTGAAATAGTATCCAGTTATTCCCTAAAAGATAAGAAGAGATGTGGATTGATAGAGGTTATCCTGACGGTAGGCTAGATGTTGTGGATCAAATAAAATGATTGCCCGTCTGGTAAATTGGTGTTTTGTGACTAGTGTATTGACCGTGCCTGCCATTTGTTGAGCAAGTAGTCTTCTCAGTAATATCCGTGTGACGTGCCTATGGCATGGACCTGAAATGTCAAATCACACACCACATAATTGTCTGCCTACCTTCCAGTACACTCAATAACTGTGACTTTTGAGTATACAAAAAACTCTTTTTAAAACAAGTCCCAAAATTCCATTGGCTGTGCAAATTTCAAACACCTTAATAAGTTTTCATTATAGAGGATCAGACTATTAAGGTTTTGCAAACCTTCCTAGTTTTATCTCCTTTATTTACTAAGTTCCTCCAGCCTGGCAAATCCATGATGACATAATGTCAATAAAACTCACTTTTTTTTTTTTGCCTAGAACTGCAATTTTTAGTAGGAGTTAGTAATGCTTGCCTCAAATAAGAGGTAAATATACTCCTATAATATTTTTCTGGCTGGAATTTAATTCTTATGATTGAAAGGCATACTGTGTTTTGTTCCCTACAATTTTTGTAAGGAAGCTTGCGGTTTTATGAAGAAAACCAGCATTTTTCATGGCAATAAATATGGCCTGATTTGTCTCTTCTTTCAAATGCAAAAAATTGGTAGCAGTTTGCCTCAAAATAATGCAAAGCTAAAATGATGAAGCTTTCCTAATAAATTGAACCTCTTAGGAACATACCGGTCAGCTTCTGTGCACCGTAGTCACTTAAAAATCAACCTTTTCTCTTCGTTGATAGGCATCTAATGTCATGACACTGTTTCCAGGTACAATCCCTCCACTCATTAAATCAGTTGTCCAAAGTGAGGAAGGTCTGGCAACCAATGAAGGGCTAAAGATGCTGGTGACTATTTCCTGTATCTTGGTTGGGGTCTTGCTGCTTTTTGTGCTTCTGCTGGTTGTAAGAAGGAGACGGAGGGAACAGAGACTGAAAAGGCTCAGAGGTAAGAATCAACATCAATTATTGCCTTACATCTATTGTAGTTTCTATATAAAAATGTGCAGATTTTCACAGAATAGAATAAATTAAGCTGGTTTTCATATTACAGAAATAGTGAGCGTGCTGTTTCCCATATCCAATAGGCAGTGTTTGGTGTATTGGTAAAGGTGCTGGCCTAGAAAGTAGAAGATTGTGACATCTAGCCTGCTTTCATCATGAAAACCAGGGGGGGAGGGACTTTGGACCACTCTTTCTCAAACTAATCCATCTCACAGGGTTGTTGTTGGGAAAATAGGTGACCGGAGTATTAGAAAGTTTGCTGCTTTGAGTTATACAGTATATAAAAAGGCAGGATGAATATATAATAATAATAGTAACAACAATAAACAATAATACAACTCTTGTAACATTAATAATAGAGCCTTGGTAGTACAGTGGTCTAAAGCACCCTGTTATTAAGAACAGCTGCCTGCAATTACTGCAGTTTCGAATCTCGCCAAGGCTCAAGGTTGACTCAGCCTTCCATCCTTTCTAAGGTAGGTAAATTGAGGACCCAGTTGTGGGGGCAATAAACTGACTTTGTATAAATATACAAAAGAATGAAGGCTGTTGCTTAGTGCATTGTAAGCCGCCCTGAGTCTCCGGAGAAGGGCGGCATATAAATCAAATTAAAAAGAAAGAAAAGAACATATTTTAAAGAATGTAGAGATTTATTTTGGCATGTAACATGATAAACCTGTAATGTTCCAATTCTATCAGAGAGTTATAGAATGTAGTACTGGTAATCCTCGATTTATGACCACAGTTGAGACTGGAACTTCCATCACTAAGGTATGTGCTCATTAAGTGAGACACACCTGAGTTTTACAACTTCTTTTGCCATGGTCAGAAAGCAATCCCTAATTATTGGGATCCTGGGTTGCTGCAGATGTCATAAATACAGGCTGGTTGCTAAGCACCCAAATCACATGATTGCAGGGATTCTACAATTGGTCATAAGTGCAAGAAAGGTCATAAATCACTTTTTAATGCCATCATAACTTCAAACAGTCATTAAATGAATGGTTGTTAAGTTGAGGACTATCTGTATAAAAAGAGTCCTTTAGGAATATGCAGATTATACCATTGATTCTTATGACATTACTTTTAAAAGTCATGATCAATTTGCTATTTCTGATTATTTCAATAGTAGTTATGCATGAAAATTCTTCCTTTTTTGTAACTTTGTAGATGAAAAGGTTGCAAATTCAGTGTATATGAATGATGTGGAGTTCATTTTCTATATGTTGGTGCTAGCAAATATTTAGAGATTGCTAAAATTTATTTTGATGTATTTGTTTTTCATGTAAAGTTTAGCTTGACTAGTGATGATTCAGTTTTAGCCCTGTCTTTCTTCCTCTTAGTTTTTACAGCCAACACTATCTGAGGTACAAAAGGATTGCTTGCCAGAAGAACAAGAAAATTACAGTGTTGATTGGGGAAGGGGGCAGAGTAGATGATTTAACCTAGGTTCCAACTGCTGCAAAAACTATATTTTCTTGTCTCCAAAGGTAGTTCATCCAAACAGCTACTATAAAATGACCTGTCCGTGTTGCTGAATATGGTAGAACTCAAGTGAAAGCTGCAGGAGTTCTGTTAATTTCCCAAGAGAATGTGTCCCAGAAAGGTTCAAAATAATAGCTGGCAAGATCCTAATAAGCAAAAGCGAAGACAGCAGCTGGTCTCATAATTTTGTCTTTCCAACCAGAACAGTATCTCCTTTACATAGTACAAGAAGTTGATTGTATAGTTAAATTTAATATTCCAACATGTCTAAATTCTTGATTGTGCTGCTTCTTTGTGGACATTGTTACTGGAGTTGACAATAACCTTATATTCTGTGTTCTAAATATGTCACAGCCAGTCAAATTTTAGATTATTCATATCTTAGACGTTGTATAAAAATGTTGAACAGAAAAGGATAGCTTGCTCCATGTATTCTCTTGATATTGACTTTATCTCTATATAGGTAAATATTAATTAGGGAGCAAGCTTTTGAATTGATCATAGATCATTATGCTAATCATAAGGTAATTTGTTTGCTTTTGGCTTAGGATGTTTGGTGAATCCTATCTATTATGGTTTAGTATTATATGGAACCTAGATCACTTGTATTCATGTATACTTTAGAGGAAGAGAAAAAAAGGCATGAACCTAAGAGACTGCCAGCCTATTGTAGGAAAACAATCTGTTTTTGAGCCAGCAGAGGGAAATCGCACTGCTAATCAATAGGGATCCTGCAAAATTGGTTAATCTGTTTGATAGTGATGAATTAACAAACCTTAATTAACTATCAAGTCTTAAAACTATTAAGATCTAGCAAAAATAAAAAAATCCCTGCTCATTAGAATTCCTAGAACAAGGGTTGGATTTGACTTTGGTAACAACTCTTTGCCATATTGTTCCTTTTGAATTCAGATTTATTCTGACTCTGGACTGGGTTATCTTTGTACCTGTGTCAAATCCTCTCACTCCTTGATCTGCTTTTGTGATTTATTGTGCCTTAGATCTTGAAACATCTTTCTTCATATTTTTTCCCATTACACCTTGGTTTCTGCAATATGGCTTCTGACATTACACTGTCTTGAGCAATGTAGGGCATGAGTAAGTTTATTTTTAAGATATATGAGTTGAAAGTGTCTTCTGTTTTAGGTTAACAAATCTCCTCCTCAGTTTCCTGGCCCCAACTGCAATTCTTAATTAAAAAAGCAGCACATTATCACTTAAATTCCTTATTTTTTAATTAAACAGTCAGCAGCCTTAACAATATGTATTATTCCTGTGACTTATGTTAGACTCACATAGCTTGTTGGCAAAAAAATCTGGTTTTTGTTTTTTATTATGACAGTTCTAATATATGCACAATTTGTTGTAGTGTATTGCGTATGAAGATTTGAATAGTGTTTATTCAAGAATGAATGTATGAATGTTAAATGTTAGTGCTGAAAACTGAAGAACATTCACTCAACAATGACTGCTCTCCAATGAGAATAAAATAACCTCATGATTCTATAAATAAGTATTTTAACTTATAATTAAAATTATACTTTCTTAATTATTAAAATGTCATGAACAATTAAATGTAAAAAATAGCTTTCAGAATAATGTATTATAAAAATTAAAGTATCAAAATAATCTTCTTGAATAATGTATATTAGTAAAATTGATACAAATTTCTTACCTTCTATTGCAATCATAGCAGATGGTCTAAGAAAGTTGTCATAAATAATTAAACTTGTTGTTAATAGGTAAACAAGAATTCATAATATCAGCCTTCAGTGTGATTACATATTTATTAAGTGATCTTTATTCTTTAAGTTCTAAGCCCTTCTTTTTGTTGATATCTCTATGTGTGAGTGTGTGGGTATACATATACATACATAAATACATACATACCATATATATAGGATACACACATTTCATATATATATATATAATACACACACACATATATATATACATATACATACTTACATATAGGAAATAAACATTACATGCATGCACACATAACATATATATAGGATACGTACATTTCATATACATATTTATATATAATATAATTTAATAATTTAATATACACACATGTATACATGCATACATATACATACTTATATATAGGAAATACACATATTACATACCTACATACATGCAGTGTATCTATGTCCATTGAAGTGAGTAGGCCACATTGCCAACAAAAAATACTGTTTCCTACACCCATATTTATGTGGTGTCCAATTTCACCAGCTCCAAAGTTCTTTTACCTCCCCATTAATAGCAATTCAGTTATAGGTTTAAATATTCAGATTGCTCTCCCACATCCAGTCTCTTTCAACCAAGATGAAAGCTTCTATCTGGTAACTGTATTAGATTGCTTGGGGATTATTTCGCAAATGTAAGTACTAATTATGGTAGCTGTTTACATAATGCTACTATTTCTCCTGCTTTTTTTTTCTTTCAGATGCAAAAAGTTTGGCTGAAATGCTTATGAGGTAAGAATAGTAAAAAAGCAGAATTCAGTCATTAATTTTAAAAATGGAATCCATGAGTCGAGGCCTTGGAACTAGTTCAAAATGTGTACCTCCATTGGGAACATCCTATTTACACATTTCAGAATGAGAAAAGAAACTTCTAATCATAATCCTCAGCAAGCATGCACATCTTTTTCTGCACTGAGAGGAGTAGCTAGTGAGCAAGGCTAATAGAAATAATGTTAAATGTAACCTGAATAAAAATTGAATGTAATTTAATATAATTCAATGTAAAATTAATTATATTTATTTGATTTGGTTAAATACAGTTAATTTGATTGTTCCTTAAAAAGTCAGTACTTTTCAACCACATTAAAATTTCATTTAAGCCCTTAGAACAGAGGTCCTCAAACTTGGCAGCTTTAACACTTGTGGACCTCAACTCCACAAGTCTTAAAGCTGCCAAGTTTGAGGACCTCTGACTTAGAAGGACAGTGATAGACAGTGATAGAAAAAGCAAGGATTGTAGACAACTTGCCATTGACTTGAACACTGCCACTTGAGTACACCACTTAGCAATAGCAATTCCAGCAGTTCCAGTTGCTATCATAAGCAGTTGTTAAGTGAGGACCTTACACGACTGTAACTTCAACCTTCATCATAACCTTATTGACTAGTCCTTTGCATGAAAATAGAAGTTAGAAATTAATTCTGATTTCTTAACTTCTTGACAGTCTGTAAGGTAAACCCTTGCAATAATTTCAAACGTTCTCTGCAATTCTGTGAAACTCACCCATTTTGTGTTCCTGCTAATTCTTTTATACATAAATATAATTCTGTGGATACATTTAACATATGCTATGAATCAATTAAATATTCTATTACACTTTTATTGCCCAGGTTGAATTTTTATATTCCCTCCCTAAAAAGGTAGCTTATGCTAAATATAATTTTAAAATAAGAAAGTAATCATTCTGATTGTGTGTTGTATCAGTTATTTGAAATCACCGCAGAAATATTTACTTACGTAATATTGCTACTGCAGCTACTGTAAAACATAGAAGAGTTTATTTTATTTATTTATTTATTTTATTTTTGAATTTGTATACCGCCCTTCTCCCTGAGGACTCAGGGCGGTGAACAGCCAAATAAAAACATCAAATACAAATATTAAAACACATTTAAAAAATATATATAGATTTGGCCCCATTAATTAAAACGATAAACAAAACAAGACAATTAAAAAACCCTTAAAAAGAAATTAAGCCAGCCCGGCTTGTTGAAAAAAGAAAGTTTTAAGGGCACGGCGGAAGGCACTGAGGTCATGGATAAATAAATATCAACTTTTAGAAGATGTTATTTCTATATTTTCTCTATTGTTAGCAAATCTAAGTGAAGCAGAGAGGGGGAAAGAAGTAAATTTATCACCATCTTCTGTATCTTGTCTGCTCATCCTGAACAGAGTAAAAAGTGGATCTCTGTTTTTATCTGTGGAGGGCTGGGTTATTCCTGGGGTTCCTAGCATAGCAGATCAGGAACATGGGAATTTGCTACTTCCTGCATCAGAATATTGGTTCATGTGCCCCAACTTTGTTGAAACTGAATGGAAATGACTCACCAGGCAATCTGTCAGGATCCTTCACAAACTTCTAGAAATTCTAGAGGTTGTAGCTCCAGTATCACAGCAACTCTACTGCCAGGTAGAGGTTATCAGGCACATTTCCAGCTTAGTCCTAAATTATTTGTCCATCAAGCTGGATCTGAGATTTAGGATTACTGATTATCGTTACTAAAATATGATAAGATTACAGTGTCATAATATTCATTGTGCTTTGATTGGATGAGAGGAAAGTAAGTCAGCCTGAAAAGCAGGTAGTAGGGAGAAATAACTATTTAAAAGTTATATTTTTAAAAAATAAAATCATGTAAAGTTTTTCAAATTATATCCCTTTTTTTGTCCTAACCATTTTGTCTACTGCTTTAAATTAATACATTTTGTATGTTTATTTTTTTTAAAAGTATATGCAGAGACTTTGTTTGAACATTTCAGCATAGGAGATTGGGGGAGCTTTAATTCATTTAAAATAATGGCACTTTATTGTACTTTGTTTTTAAAGTATATATTTCCTCTTAGTTAAATTTGCTTGTACTTTCTTGAATACTTAGCAAGAACACAAGGACATCGGATACACTTAACAAGCAACAACAGACACTCAGGATGCATATAGATATTCCCAGAGCTCAGCTTCTCATTGAAGAGAGAGATACAATGGAAACCATTGGTAAGCTGTCAATAGCCTCATTAGCTTGATTTATATAACCCAGGACCTATACCTTTGTGTATTTTTAAAATATAATTTGTTGCAACTTGGGAAAAATCACCACAATTAATGTGTTCTGCTTTTAAATTGTTGTTGAGCAGTAAAGAGTGGAATTAAAATTTTCATATACAATTCTACTTATGCTTACTCAGAAATATGTTCTACTATGTTCAGTGCAAGCAATCATGCAATAAGATTGCAACATAAAGCAATTTAGATTTAAGAATAATTCATGGGAAAATGTTCACATTCGCACAACATACACGAAAGCTGTAAAGCCTTTCAACTTTCCTTTTAAATTATTTTTTATGGGATGAAGTAACAAAAAAAAAAAAAAAAACCCACACAAACCTTCACAGTTTTGGTGTATCACATATACAGACTCTGTGCACATGCTGAAATTCCATCAGAAAACTGAACTAACTTAAACTAGGGAGGTAGTATGATATTTCTGTGAATATTCCAGACATATTTGATGCCAAAAATATATTAATCACACCCAGAAAAGATAATGAAGGAAGCCATTTGCCTTTTCCAGGGTATAATGCCCAAACAGCCAGTAATTGGGAAAGTTGTGGAGCAAAACATGGATTGGGCATCTTCTTAAAGAAGTCAGATACTTCTTTAAGAAAACTGGTGAGAGAAGGCTATTGTTAACACAGATATTTGATCCATCATTTTCTCTATCACCTGTTTCTTAGTAAAAGCTGGCAACAGTGACGGACCTCAGGTAGTTGCTTTGCTCAAGTCCAAATATTACTAAAATGCCTTTTGAAGTGGAAAAGCTGACTCCAATCAGAGCAGTACTTTTTTTTCCCAATCTTGTGATTCTGTAATATACTGCATCTATTTCTGTATACCTGCATTGTGTTTGAACAACCATTTATCTTTTTTATAATGCTATTGTATCCTTGTTGGTATTTTATTCATTTCAGGAATGCAGGAGATATATAGGATAGTTTTAATCTTACTTCTTAGTATGGAAATGGTAGTAACAGACCAAGAGTTCCAAAGCTAAATAGGTGTGATAATTAATGAAATAATTGATTAGGATGGGCCAGGCAATTCCTGCTCTGTTTTCAGTTCTGAGTCACATCCTATTAACTATTAAATTAATTTGGAATTACTTCAGTTATCTTTTGTGTGTGTCCTTGAGTCTAGTTTTTGAGTCTTGGTGACTGCCTGGTCTAGTCCCTGCAATTATCTTGATCAATTTTTTCAACAATTCTTTGCCATTGCCTTCTTCACTCTAGGGCTGAGAGAGAGACTGGCCCAATATTATCTAGCTGGCTTTGTGTCTAAGATGGGACTAGAACTCATGGTTTCCCCATTTCTGGTTTTAACCACTATGCCAGATTGGGTCTCAGTAATCCTTAGTTCCCATTATTTTTCAGGAAAGGTTACTAATATGCATGTTAGTTAAATTTAAATTTTACATTAAATTTAAATAAATGAAATGAAAATGAAATAACTAGTTTTTATTTTGAGTAAAAAAACATAACATGTACAACTTTAGATTATACAGCATTAATTAAACTCATGACATGATTGATAATGTAATTATCTTTTCTTGTGGTTACCCTAAGTATTAGATAACACAAATATATATGGATTGATTCAGGTATAAAAAAGGAATGGATCTTTGATTTTTAAACTTGCTAGGAACTAAATAAAAATGTAATCAAAAATTTGTTGTTGTTTTCAACTAGTTCCAGATTTTTAAAAAGTCAGACAACATTAATTAGATTGTTGAAAGTATCCATAGGTTATTTTATACAGTAAGATAATGGAAAATAAATAAATTCTTAATTCTTTTATAAACTTAATCAAAATAACACATCAAAAACATTTATTTTCTTTCCCATAGATGACAGATCTACAGTCTTGCTAACTGATGCTGATTTTGGAGAGACATCAAAACAGAAATCATTGACAGTTACTCATACAGTACATTATCAGTCAGTCTCACAAGCCACTGGGCCGCTGGTGGATGTTTCTGATGCCAGACCAGGAACAAGTATGAACAACATTTTCAGTGGAATATTTAAAAAATGAAAAAAAAATCATGTTGTGGTCTTTGCACTATAGTAGAATTCCAGAGTAAAATGTACAGGTGTCTAGAAGGAAACCAAGTCATTTGAATAACATTTCTGTGGCTGGAGGGGGAGAAGTGATTGTGTATTGTACAAAACTTCAAAATTTGTCTAGAATTTGCAGACAAAGTGTTTTGGGATATACTTTAGTTCAGAGGAAGACTGGATGTATGTTTGAGATAAGCTGTTTCCTTTTTCTTTTGCATGTTTTATGTGTCAATTATTTTTCTTAAAAGTTATGCAAAGACTATTATTCCTCTAGTGCTAGTATAGCCAACCTTTGGGTTGTGTGGGGAACCAGAGCACCCTAAGAGCATCTTGCTGAAAATCTATTTGCGTATTGCTAGATTGATATTATTTATTTATTATTATTATTATTATAAGTTTCCAATATTAATGAAAACATTTTGAAGCCTCCTAAAACACTAAAAAATAAAATAAGCATTGGATATACCCACTAAGTGATAATCACTGCCATATTTGGAGATAAAATAATACTAATATTAATACTAGTAAGGCACTACCTTGATCCCCCAGTGAGGAGGCATGTGGTTCATGTGGTTCTGAGGCTTCGGTGCTCTGAGAGCTATATTAGAGAGTCAAATACAATGGACAAGTCTTACCAGATGAGTCAGACAGAGAGTGTCTCTCCCATAAAAAAATTGATGAGTCATACATTACAGAAACATATACTAGGGATCATGCTAGATGCTGGAGTTTCTGGAATCTGATGAAAAATGGGCTATATGAGCCAGGACTGTTGGCTGAGCAAGCAGGGCCAGCAGCTGCAGAATTACTGGAAGACAAGGTTTTTACTCTTAGCTAATATACAGAGATTGAAAACGAAGAAGTAATTATCTGCTATTGCAGATCAAGTTCAACAAGAAGAGGATGTTTAAATGAATGTGCAGTTCTGGAAAGAACAACATCCATAATCAGAAATAACAGAATGGAGGTTGATTTATAATATGAAATAATACGCAGAAGCAGAAGGATTGCAAAGGCATAGCCAGAGCAAAAAAATCAAAACTTTGCCAGAAATAACTCAGGCTGTAGAGGCAAACCAGGGAGAGTTGGCAGTAGAGGAAGCCAGCACAGCTATTAAATTGTTTTCATTCCAAAACCAGGCACCCTCTCCTCTGCCTCAGAAAGAACAAAGCCTTCTAACTAAATAAATAGAAGAACGTTAAGAAAGAATAACTGAACATCTAGAATAGCATAAAATAACAGAATAAGGTAGCCTGCCTTGAAGGTTGTTCCAAAGAAACAGCTAGCACAAGCATCAAAATATGCCAATACTGCAATATCAAGTATAAGTGGCAGCTCACTGCAAGAAATAAACAACTAATGTACAGCATAGCTGCAGTTATAACTGAATACCTGGGATGCAAAATCAACAAAGAAGAAAAAAAGCCAAACAGTGTATCACCAGAATGGAAGGTCATGTTGGAAAATAAGATCAGCAAGCTAACATCAGATGTAAACAAGCAAAAAATAATGAAAGAAAAGAAGCTGAAGAAAAGGACCAAAGAATACCTAATCAAGAAATATCACTTAGAAACAAGGAAGACCAAGGAAGCAGTGGAAATAATAAAGCAGTAAATAACAACTATAAGCAATAAGATCAGTAGCTCTATCACTTGAATTGGAACTTATAGGTAGACTCTCCAGTTTCAATCCAATCCAATCAGGAATGTTTCTACCAATCCATCATTTGTGAGACTGCAGAGAATCAGTCAACACCTGACAAGGAAGAAACAGTGCAGTTCTGGGCACAGATGTGGGATAACTCACCAACATTTAATAGGAATACAATTTGGTTAAAGGAGGTGGGTAAGAATACAAAAGATGAAATAAAAGAACTTGTAATAACTGCAGAAATGATGGATAAAAGAGCAAGGAAGATCAGGAATTGGTCAAAACAAGGTAAAGATGAACTGAATGGGTTTTGGTTAAACCATCTGATTGATTTACACTCACTTGTTGCCAAGCAGTTAACAATATATACTGCAAGAGAGAAATTGAACAGTGGCTAACATCTGGCAAAAGCTAGCTGATAATGAAAAATCCAAGAAAAGGGGCAGCACCTGAAAACTAAAACTCAATTACTACTTATTAACAACTTTCAAATTGGTAGCTGATACAGTCCAACAGCATCTAATTGAAAACAAGTTCTTTTGATCTGAGCAGAAAGAAAATTGCTCAAACAGCAGAGGAATAAAAGATCAACTCTTAATTGATAAGATGATTCTAGACAACTGCAAGAGAAGGAAAACTTGCCTGAATATAGCATGGATTGATTACAAGAAGGCATTCAACTCCCTGCCACATGATTGGATAATCAAGTACCTAGAAATAACAAAAGTCAATAGAAAACTCAGAAGCTTTGTGCAAAAATTGATGCCAAAATGGAAGATATGGTTGCTAGTCAATAGTGATAGTTTGGGGGAGGTTAATATCAATCTTTCAAGGAGACTCATGTCACCAATACTGTGTCATTGCACTGATTCCTCTGTCAACAATTCTGAATAACTCAGGCCATGGCTCTTAAAATCAAAATATCTGTGAGGTTATCTTACCTTCTGAACAATCTGAAGCTGTATGGAAAAACACCAACTGAAGTAGAATCGCTGCTCACCCCATCCATATATACAGCCAAGATATTGAAAAGGAGTTTGGACTGGACAGTTGTGCCACCCTCAATCAAATCAGGGAAAATATTGAAAACTGGAAGAATCAAGATCCATATTAAAATAACATAAAAAGTCTGGATGAAGACAATCACTAAAATATCTGGGCATCATTCAAGCTGACAACAATGAGCACACTGAAATTAAAAAAAAGATTAGAAGTAAAAACATCAAGAGAGTAAAGGTCTTAAATAATGATGATGATAAATCATGCCCTTCATCCACATAGTGACATTGACAGCGTCTACTTAGCAAGGATCATAGATGAGCATGGTACAACAGATGGTTGAAGAAGAAAACAAGCCATTGGACAATTATCTGAAGAAGAATGAAGAAAATGCACTAAAGCTAGTGTATCAGGAAGGCCTACTGAGTACTGGAGTATGAAATGAGGCATGGGAAGATAATGCATTACATGACCAGTACATTAAAAAAAATAGCAGGGAAAGCAGATAATAAAAAGACCTGGCAGTGACAAAGAGCAGGAAAGTTGAGGAAAGAGCAGAGGGGTTAATTCTGGCTGTGCAAGACCAAGCCTTAAAGACAAATCCGTCCAAACCCTGAATTGAGAAGACAGCAACAGATAGCAAATGCCATCTCCATAAAGAAGCTGAAGGAACAGGGACCACCTGGTTAGAAGATCACACAGACTGACTACAAATAACAGCATGACAAAGTAGCAACAATGGTACACTGGAGGATCTGTAAGAAGTAACATTTGCCTGCAAGCAAGAACTAGTAGGACCATAAAATTAAGTCCCAGAAAATGAAGAGGCTAAAGTGCTCTGGGAATTTAGAATTCAAACAGACCCCAGATTTAACAATTTTCAATAAGAAACACAAAAATGTCTAGATAGTGAACATGGTAATATCTGGAGAGAGCAGAAGAGAAAGAACTGGAGAGAATAACAAAATAGAAAGACCTATAAATAGAAATAGAACACACGTGGCAAAAGAAAGCAAAGACAGTACCAATAATAATAGGTGCCTTGGGTTTAATTCCCATACAGGTGGCGCACCACTTGAACACCATTGGCACTGACAAATACATCATCGGTCAATTGCAAAAGTTTTACTTGGAACAGTTTAAATCCTGAGACGATAGCTTTAACACCATGAATCATCAACATCTGCCTATTCTAGGTCCTTGGGAAGAATTCGATAGGTTGATAAAAATGCCAAATCCAGTTTAAACATCTAGTTGACTATATGACCAACTCTGCTACTAAAACACTAATACTAACAGGGAAAGGAGGCATATGTTGCTTTCAGTCATGCAGAAGTCCTGCAGGGCTAAGAGATTTTCTGCCTCTCCAAGCTTTTCTTTCTTTTTAACTATTCATTATTCATATTCAATTTTGGTCTCTCGTAGTTTTGAGAACTCCCCCTTACTGCTTCCCATAACTGTAAACACTTCAGTGTGTTTTTGTTATTAATGAACTTTATGAATTAGTTGTCTGAGTTGTCATTACTGTTCTGGGAAAGCCAAACCTTTCTAATAGCTGGAATTTGTGGTCTTTATTTCTTTCTCTGTCAATATAAGTTGATGTGCCAACTCTTATACTAGTTTTAACATTGTTCTGGAGAAAAAGGTGTTAAATTTTGACAACATCAAATACATTTTATAATGGTTGGGATATTTTCCAACTACAAAACTCTTTATATAAGTGTAATTCATTCAGTAAGCAGATTTATCCTTCTAAGGTTTTCAATTTGATAAAAATTTAATACAGTTATTAATCACTGGAGCATTTTCTCACATTCTGGCAATGATTCTGTGAGGTTTACAAAACACAGTGCACTTTCAGTATGGAAAATCTGCAGCATATCACAAAACAGGATACTATTTTGTTTTGCTCAGCTACTCATCTACATATTGTATTCTCTCAAAAAAGGGACACTGCATTTATTGCTGAATATCTTTATTTTTATGCTGTTAATGTAGTTTCAAGAAGCAAGCAACATATGGACAGTTTACTTTTTAAAAAAATTGCTTGTAACTAAAAAGCTGTCAATCTTTGATATGAAGAGATGAATCATGAACAATTCTTATATCCTATAGGTAGCAGCACCTTCTTAGAGATTCTAGAATAAAATATTTATTTGCTTCTTTAATATTCCATTTTCATCAAATCTATACCTTTATATTATTTTTTTAGTGTATAAGTGGGAAATATACAGTAAGACTGATTCTAGATTATTTATTGGGGAAGAGGGGGCTTCTATAGCTTGATCTCCATAAACACATTTGTTGATATAACAAACAGCAAGATCTATTTATTTCTAATTTATTTCTAATTTGTTTTTTTAAAAATAAATGTCCAACTATTACTTTATTTATATGACTGTCATTATTAGCTTTGTAGCTGGGGTATTTAAAAAGAAACTGGATAAAGATGCACACATTGGTTGAACTTATATATATTGTTGCTAGTAGTTGACATTAGCTGATTCAACGATAGATCAGCTTCTCTGTAAGTTTTATTTTAAGACTTAGTCTTAAAATATTATTTTTGATAATTATGATTAATGATTTTTCTTTTCCTCTTCTGCTCCTTGAATAAATTAATTAATCAAATATGCAATTATCTTGGTTTTAATTGCAGATCCTACAACAAGAAGGAATGCAAAAGCTGGGCCTACAGCCCGGAACAGATATGCTAGCCAATGGACTCTCAATAGACCCCATCCTACAATATCAGCCCACACTTTAACAACAGACTGGAGGCTGCCAACTCCCAGGGCCACAGGGTCTGTTGATAAAGAAAGCGACAGCTACAGTGTTAGTCCATCGCAAGATACAGGTATCATCTTTAGGTTAGATTTCATCTTCAGGTCAAGAAAGCATTAGTATAGATATAGCTGATTATATGCCAACACCGTATTTGGTGACTTGACTTGGCAGCTAGTCTATAAAGAGAATCTACTAGTTCTCTAGAGCAAGGGTCCCCAACTCCCGGGCCACGGACTGGCACCAGTCCATGGCCTGCCAGAAACCGGGCTGCACAAGCAAGCAAAGCCCCATCCGTGCATGCATGAAATCCAGGCAGCACACAAAACCATACACACACCGATCCAAGGGAAAACCACCCTCCATGGAGGGTGCCGAAAAGGGAGGCACTGCTCTAAAGGCTTTGCTGAAATAGATGTGGCTCATTGGATGACTGAGAATCTCCATAGACATTCATTGGTGTACTTTATCCTAAGAATATGCTCTTATCTACTGTATAAAATTCAGTTTAGGCGTTGATTCACTAAACTGGAGAGTGTTCACATATTGATGCTATTTGTATGTTGCCCATTCCTGAAAACTCTTTGTCTGACTTATTTATAGCCCCCCTCCCCAAACTGCTTTAGGACATGTCTCAAATAGCAGATCATGTCTACTGACCACTTGATTAACACGGAAAATCAAATGATTAAATCAAACAAATAAAATTAAAATACATTGCTTTAATTATTAACCTAATTAGACAAACTTACGGATAAATTTTTCAGAATATTTTTAGCTCCTATCTTACAAAGGCATAAAGCCAGATATATAGGTAAAAGAGATCAATATGTTTTGTTTGTTTGCTTGCTTGCTTTAGAGATTCTTTCAGAACTGCTGATAACTTTTACTACTTGGTTTTGATCTGGTTTCAATTTTGATCTTTCTTGCTGGATAAAAGCCCTGAAACAGAACAGATTTAATTCATTGCACATTTCGTCAACTACCTAATCAGTTCAAATCAATCTTATTTTATTTGGAACTTGGCTGAATCCAAAGTTCAGATGCACAGCTGGCAAAAAACTATTTGAGTTGACCAAAATACCAATTAAAAACGAATGTGTGAAATGAATTCACAGCTTTAAAAAAATAATAAAGAAGTTCTGAAATAAAATTAGGATGTAAACTTCCATGTCATTTTAGTTCCTCAATGTTAAATATCAATTACTTAAAAATATTATTTAAATGAAATTTTGCAGAGACAATCAGGAATATATATAGACAATATTACTGTTAAGGTGTTTTCTGAGAGTTAAATGTTTATCCCTTCTGTCCAATACATTTGAAGATGCTAATTTGACTTAAAATAGAAATCATTAAAAAAATTAGAAAAAATGGAATTCATAGCAATAATTTCATTCTGAAATAAACCTTTTTCTTCCCATTCTGCAATACTAATTTTGCATGATAGAAATAAAGAAACTATCGGCAAAACCTGATAGCACAGAATGCCATATTGTATGGGCACGCTATAAAGCAGTGTTTCTCAACCTTGGCCGCTGGATGATGTGTGGACTTCAACTACCAGAATTCTGGGAGTTGAAGTCCACACATCGTTCAGCGGCCAAGGTTGAGAAACACTGCTAAAGGATGTTGAAATTCTCATGGGAATATACAGTAGAAAGCCATGATTTTGCTGATTGTTCCCTTCTGAAGTGATTGCCTTTTCTTTATTGTTTAGATCGAGCAAGAAGCAGCATGGTCTCCACAGAAAGTGCCTCCTCCACATATGAAGAGCTAGCCAGAGCATATGAACATGCCAAGATGGAAGAGCAGCTGCGACATGCAAAGTTTACCATCACAGAATGCTTCATATCAGACACCTCATCAGAGCAGCTTACGGCAGGGACTAATGAATATACAGACAGCCTGACCTCAAGCACCCCATCCGAATCAGGGATTTGCAGATTCACTGCATCTCCTCCCAAACCTCAGGACGGAGGACGCGTGACAAACATGGCTGTTCCAAAGGCACATCGGCCAGGTAGGTATCTATTTTAATCCATCTGTTTTAATCCCATCTGTTTTAATTCTAGGAATGAGGCAAACAAAAGCATTGGCAAAAAGGTAAAAAAAAAATCTGGCAGCAAAAACTCAGTGCTGATTTTTATAACTGTCAGTAACAACAACTCCTTCTTAGAGATTTGTACGGCAGAGCAAAGCAAAGCATAATGTTTAACTTTTCAGTCTCCTGAATACTGAAGGTTTTTTAGACCCCTGCCTTCAGAACCATGCCCGTGCTGAGCTGCTAATCCTAAAATTCTAACTGGTAAAAAAAAGTCTATGTGAGAATAAGAATTTATTCATAACTAAACCCAATAATTATTTTTTTCCACAACTGAGTACTCTTATGCCTGCCAGCCCTTTCATGTGACCTGAGCGCTGAAATTTTGTTTCAAGCACATTCCCCTCCCCCACCTCCTTTATTGGTAAGAATACTTTTCAAGGCTTTGTTTGGTCATCAGATCCTCATGATGGTCGAGGGTATCTCAAGGGGGCTCTTATATTCAAGATTTTGGAGGAAAATATTTCCTCCTCGTTCTGGATTTCATTGTTACATTATTTTAAAGCACTGCTCCTGCCTCAGTAAGGAGGCAATTCTTTTTTTACTGGCCAAGGGAGGATATTGCAAAGATTCACTGGTGTTGATTTAAATAGATGTAATACATTTTTAATCACTACTGCTAGTCTGCATCCAACAAGTCCGAATTGTTGGAGGTATAACTCAGGTTATTTCTAGGATAAGTTCTAGTTGGCAGAATTATTTTTTCTGCATGTTGTGATTTAATTCCTAATACAGCAAGACTGTTTTTTTTTCAGTTATTATCATTATTTTTATTATCAACCCAAATCAATCCACTGCAGGTTGGAGATCTCCTACTTGATGATTATAGATTGTAATCCACTATGTTGGTCCACTGTTGGTAGCTTGATGTTTTTCAACTTCCCAGTTTGGAATGATTTGCCCAAAACCATGTAGTCAGTTACCATGCCTACTCTAATAACTTAACCACTATTTCACATTGTATCTATCATTATATGGATACAGTATTTATAAAATATGCTATTCAGGCAAACAAAAACCTGTAATGCTACTGAATGGATAAAATGTGGTAATGCCACTATGAGAAAAAATCTCATTCAAAAAAGGTTCCTACAGCATTGAGATTACTTTGTTCTATACTTTTAGTAACTCGCACTGAATCTTTGTAGAATTGCATAATGTATGTAAAAATGCTTTAAATAATAAATCATAAAGCTGTGCAGTATGTTTCTCTGAAATAATAAAACATATGTTATTATGTTATACAATTCCCTTATTCCCCAAATCCATAATGCTAACTATCCTGTGGAATTAAAAATATCTCATGCCACATTTTCATTCCTACACATGAAGGAGAATCAGAGAGGAGGAGGATCATAATTTTCACCAGCAAGCTCATATTTTTTGTGAGATTTGCTTCCATTTTTATATATTTGATAACACTGGACAAGAGACCACCTTCCAAAATACTTTTCATTCTTTTATGGATATAAGTATTTGGTATTAATCATACTAATTGGTTATTTTAAAGAAAGAAATTGAAGAAAATTGGCAATATTTTCTAAGGATATTTTATACACAAAAAGCAAACAAACCCATCATTTTCATTAGTTTGGATTAATCATTCAAACTTTAAATCCAACCAATTCATTTAAGGCTGTCCAAGAATGCATTACCTCAAAAAGAGGACAGGATATTATACAAATTTATATACAATTTGCATATGTTCATATGCAATATTCAAAATAATGAGGATAATGCTGGAAATATCATATACTTCACTACAACTAACCACATAAACCATGCATCTGCCTACTGTCAAGCCGTAAATTATTGATGGTCGATGAGTTTCTGCTTGCCAGTCATAAAATTGTTTATTTTTAAAAACCAGACTTTAAAGGTTTTATTAAATTCTCTAAAATTAAATTGATTATTTCTATTATGTGCATTTTTTATGATGAACTATTACTTCTGTCATGTTCTCTGTGAGACCATACTTACTATTGTGACAACATTAATAGCAAAACATTTCCACAATTCAGAAGTTTTGTTTTCTATCTTGGAATTCCGGCATTGTCCTTTCCTATAACAGATAGAGACAGGCAAAGTTGTCAAATAATTTAACTAACCTAGAAATGCATAAACATTTTTCATCATCTCATAATGTTTTTGCAACTGGGAAATATTGTCTGCAAATGACTGTTAAATTCAGTGACTCTCCTCTTTCATCCATCTACATGAATTCCTGAACTAAATTCCATTCAATGGAGCACTATGACATACCTGGTCAATTTAAAAAGCTAGAATAGATGTACAGATAATCCTTGATTTATGGCCATTCTTTCAATGATCATTCAAAGTTATGGAGCACTGAATTAAGGGATTTAGAACTGGTCCTTGAATTTATAGGTGTTCCAGTGCCCCATGGTCATGTGATCAAAATCTAGGTGATTGGCAGGCTGCCTGCGCTTACAATTGAAGGACACTTCAACTCTCTCAACCCCATAATATCCCCATCTCTGCCTTTGGGGTGTCCTGTATGCCACCATATATCTTTCTGGTATCCCTCTGCCGATTCGCTTCCAACATGCAGAGCACACATGATTATCTAGAGAACTGTCCTGTAGGGTTTCATTGAGGGGTGCAAGCAAGCCCAGCACTGGCAGAACCTACCCACAGGCCCTCTGCTCGTTCTCACCCCAGGTCTCCTCCTGCAAAACCTCATTAGTTTCACACATAAGGTGCAGAGCACTCATTGGAAGCATTCCAGGAGAACTGGTCTCCTGGCTTCAACACACTGGAAACTGCTTGCTATTCATGAGGTTTTGCAGGAGGAAAGCTGGGCCAAGAATGAATAGAAGGCCTGCAAGTAAGCTCTGACAGCACTAAGCTCGCTTCCACCCCTTACTGAAGCCTACAAATCAGATTCAGGAATTCTTCCAATACGAGCTGTAGAATGAGTGCTGCTACTCAGGGAATCCCATATCCCTTCACTTTCTCCAATTTTGCTGTAACCTCAGAGGGTGCCTCCCACACAGGTTCTACCTTCACCAGGAAGCCAGCACCAGATCTCTTGCCTTGCTTAATGACAGAGCGTGCTCATCCCACTACCTCCTCCCCTACTGAGCCCGGTAAAAGAAGCATGAAGTCCTCACCTAACGACAGTGTTGTCCAGGCCTAATGACTGCAACTAGGGCTACTAGAACTGCCAATAAGGTCAGGTGATGTTTTGCCTAACAATCACACCACTTAACAACAAAAATTCCAGTCCCAATTGTGGTAGTATATTATGCAAAATAATTTATTCTCAATGCAGAAAAAGGAAAAGAGAAACTAGTTCAGCATCGCTTAAGTTGTGATCCTAAATAATTCTTACTATATTACTGATGTAATGCTTATTAAGTATCCATTATCTCTCTGGAATGGCATGCAAAATATGAATATTTGTATATTATCTTAGCAATATTGTACTAGTGTTAGATGGCAGTCTGTTTCTTTCCATGTTGAAAAGAGAAAAACATTCTAGTGGTTCAGAATAAGAGTGAATCAATCGATCCATCTAGGTAGTGGGCAGAGTCCAGTAGTGTCTGGGAAACTCAAAATTCTAAGCATACCCATCAGCAGTATCCCTCTTTCAAGTGGACTTTGAAAAGTAGAGGAAGTGAACTCCAGTTTGTTTTTGTTGTTTTGTCTTCCATTTCAAGAAGACTGCAGGCCAGTCTGGTTTCTGCCAGGTAAAAATCTGAGGAAGGATTAGAAAATCAAAAGGAATTAGTCAACTAGGAAATGTGGGTTTATAGGATATATTTGGTTAATTTATATAGATGAAATTAATTGATATTGATCTGAAGTGTTTACTTCTTTGTATATTTAGTTGTGTTTTGTTCTATCTGTGTGCCTAGAAGAAACTGTAACTGTGAGTTAAAGTTTATAGAACTTCTGGTCTTTTCCTTTTTTTCTTTCTCCCATTGTCTTATCTGTTATCTCCTTAATCTTAAACTACATAATAAATAACCTGTATCTTCTTTGAAATTCCTGATCTCATTGTAATAGGGAATTTACCTTATCAAGCATTCTGGAGGAAGAAAAAGAAGTTTCCATTTTCTTTTTCCAGAATAGAATACATGGGGAAAAATGATCCCTGAGTAAAAGTAAAATTAGCAACTAGAAAGAGCTCCTTCAAAGATTTTGGGAAGTTGCACCAAGGGTATTGTGAGGGAAGGGCTTATACACCCCATTTGATGGAACCAGAGAAGCCAAACCACCACACTCTGTGTATAAACATTATACCATTACACCCTTTCTAAGGAAATCCATAAAAGTAAAACAGTTTTGTGCTATAGTGTGTGTGTGTGTGTGTCTGTGTGTGTACACACACACAATGTGTGGTAGTACAATGTCTGCTTTCTGAACAAATAGCAGACAGTTTCTGACAGAGTGATTAAGTCAATCTTTCAGTACTGAAGGTAATATATCTTGAAAAATGTATTTAGAACACATACAATTTTCTTTCAAAGGTTGGTTTAATACACATACAGCAAGAATCAAATGAATTATCCAGCATACTTCATTATTGGTCATGTGGCTGATAGTGTTGGTATTTTTAGTTCAGTAATAACTGGAGTCCTGATCTTCTGAATTATTGTTGAATACTGGTTCTTTAAAAGCATTCTGGGTGGAATGGACATAATATTTTATAGCATTTCTTGAAACCAAGATTATACTATGTTATAAGAAAAGCAATAGTAACAGTTAAGATCTGTGTTCTGCCTAATAGAGACAGAAATAAAACAATTGAAAAAGGCTCCTGCAAATTAAGGCATGGCTGTACAAAACGTATATGGTGACTCCATGATTAATGGTTCCAAATAAGTATTGAGATGTAATGAACTGCATTCTATCAGAGAACCACCACAGCTAGACTTTTCGCTAAAAGGCTGGTCTGGATCTGGCCAGGTTAAATTATTTTAGGCTGTTGGGAATCTCAAAGTTCTTCATCCAGTAGCTTCTCATCCTGTGCTTGAAGTGTTTTCTCTGGGAATAAATTGATTCCAGGCACAATGCCAGGCTTGAAAAGAGAAACTGGTTTTAAAATAATAGTGAAGATCAGATGAATCCAGGTGAATCTCAGAATTAAACTGGAGACTGAATAACTTTAGAAGATAGCTGAAGTTGGCTAAAACAGAAGTACAGGGCAATTATACTAAGCAGATGAAGACTTCAGAAGCTTATTGAGCTTTATTGACTGGGAACTCTAAGCAATTTTGTTGTCTTGACATTTCTCTAACATAACATGAAAACTAAAACAAATTAGGGCCAGGAAAAATATTTCAGATATTCCACAGCAGATATGAATGTTGTACTTTGAACAAAAGTGGTGGTACTTCATGGCTGAGTCATCACATGCTTCAAGACTAAATATGCCAGTTTCAAGACTTAGTCTTTTAACTGTTTACTTGTAAAGTGGAACTTCTTAATAAAATGTGAAGTATGTGAACTCTTAAGAATTTTTTCCCCCTGAAACTAATCAGTGGACCCACGTTTCTCAATTTAATTAGCCTCAAAGACTCCTAAAGCAATACAAATGTCATTTGTTTCCAGTTCTTGCCTTGCCTCCACCAAACAAAAATAGAGCTCAAGTAGAACTCCCAAATCAGGCACTCAAAATTAGAACCAGTAAGGAAAATTATACACATTCAGAAGCCGATAACTGTTTTCCTCAGCAATAGAGCATTTTCATGATTTTACTGTATATTCATGATAATAATAATAATAATAATAATAATAATAATAATAATAATACTTTATAGTACTTTATATACTTTATAATATTTTATAAATATTTATACTAAATAATACTTTATAGTACTTTATATAAGTTAAATAATAATCAGAATTAACATTAACAAAAAAATTTAGTTTGTATTCATAAAACAATGGTGTTCTCTGAGCTTGTCTGTTTTCTTACAGATGTTTCTTTACCCAATTAAATAATATCAGTGTTAGAAGGGAGTGGGATTCAGTCTCTGCTTTGTCAGTGTTGCTGGAAGTGGTCTTGGTGGTTCCTTGATTAGGATGTTGTTTACTGTTACTTTGTTTGTGCTAATAGTTCCTTCATTGGGGTATTGTTTACTTCTTGATTGTTGATCTGGTGTTAATCGTGTTATTAATCTCATTCATCTGGGTATTGATTGCTGGTGAAGAAGTGTTTTGGTCTTTTTGATTGTCTCTCTTGATTGGTACATAGAAGTTGTTAATCTCCATGTGCCTGTTGATGGCCAATTTATCTGGATTCCAGGAATTTTGGACTTGGCTTGGTCTAGGATGCTCAGTTTCCAAGTTGAAACTATGGTTACAGTATAAGGACTGTAACAGCCACTATATAGGACAAACATGCAGAAGACTAGCAGAGCACATCCATAAACACCAGTTAGCAGTTAGAAGTCATGCTGAAAACTCTGTAATGTCACAACACATAGACAGACTTAACTTAACTTAGTCTTCTAGTCTAGTCTTCTGCATGTTTGTCCTATATAGTGGCTGTTACAGTCCTTATACTGTATGTTGTAGAAGATTCCTGGGTTTTTTTCTGCTGGATCTTTTGGTTTACTTAGGGTGCTTTGGAGAACTTTAGTTGCTTTGGTGATGCCAGGTAGATGTAATAGTCTATTGATGGTTTCTGAGATACTTTTGACAGTGTTACCCTTTTCACAGCTTGCATTGATTATGCTGTAGAGGGTTGAGTGGTCAGGCACTTTTTGAAAACGTTGCATGAGTATTTAGTTTGTTGGAAGACATTGCCTAGACGATCTGTTTCCTTTTTTGATGTTCAGGGTTGCTGCAGTGTGATTGTGCTTGGTAGTTAAAATTTGGTTGGTGGGGGTAATTTTATGATAGATTTGTGTTTCTAATTTGCCATCATTGCATCTTCTGATGAGGATATCCAATAAATGTAGCATTTTGTTGTTTTTGTCTTCCTTTGTGAATTTTATTCCTTTGAATATTATTCACTGTTGATAGTTCTGTGTATTTTCTCTAGTTTGTCTTTTTTTATTATGACAAGGGTGTCATCTACCTGCTGTATCCATACTTTAGGTTGTATGCATGGGAGTGCTACATATTTTAAGTGTTGCATTACTGTCTCTGCAAAGTGTCCTAGTCTTTCTGAAATATGGAAGTCATATTGCCTTAATTTGTGTAGCATTTGCTATTTCTAAGTATTTTAATTATTCTTATAGGACCTAGCTACTAAAGAAACTGGCAATAAAAGTTCAGTCTGTTTCCCTGATGAAATCTCCAGTATCTAGGATTATTAGGAAAATCCCATAAAGGATCTACAATTTGTAGTAAGTGTCTTGCTTTGAGGAATTACAATTTGTGTTCAGTATTTCTTTTCTGATAATTTTAAGCACATTTTACAAAAAGGAAAATATATTTGTCGTATATTAAT